TGGATAACGCTTTAAACATTTACCATCTACCATACACGGTGAATTTTGATTAAGTGTTCCACATGAACCATGTATCATGTATTTGATAACTATCTCACTCAAGCAGGGACAGACTGGGTTAATATTTCAGGCCGGGAATTTTTTTTGCCAGGCCAAAACCAACGATTTGGTCATAAGTAGGGCTCGAAACTTAATGCACTAAAAAAGTACTAAATATACATGCACTTATGCGCTTAAAAATGTACAAATATTTACTAAAAATATGCACCCTTATTTTATTTTTGTACACAAAATTTTCATTGCACAAATATTTGATAAAATTATAAATATAGGAGAAGCAAAGTAATAAAAATAATTCTAATTTTTAATTTTTAATCATAATTTAAAAAATAATAATAATAATACTAAAATAGCATTAAAAATGTTTCTTGAATAAATAAAATGCACTAGTAGAATGTTCAATAATCATTGAATTATTTCCCTAAAAAAATATTTATAGAAAATCATCGTATTTCGATAGCAGCTGTTCCTATTTGATATTTGTATAATACTTTATTTTAAATAAAGCTAGCTGTAATTATAATTTATAAATATATATATATGAATATATATTATATTAACCAATAGGGGAAAACATTGTTTTTAATGTTAAATGGAAATTTGAAAAATACAATACAATAATATCTCTGTTGCTGTCGCAACAACTGCAATTATATTTCGAAAACGGTCAGCACACACACACACATCATTATGTGTTTTGTGAATTATTTTTGTTCGTTTTTAATTGTGTTGTGTTATTTATTTATTTATTTATTGGTGTAAACGCCCAGGTGGGCTCAAGTACAATGACAATAAGATTTATAAAAATAACATTGGTAGAATAAAGATACAAGTACAATAGTAGTATGAATTAAGTACATAAAATAAAATTACAAAATAATAGAACTAATTTTAGTGATATAACAAGCTGCTAAAAACTGTGTTTTAAAGAATATAAATTATTCATAATCAACGGATCAAGATTTAAATTATTGCACTCTCTGGCTATTCGATCAATAGGGTTATTAGTGCCGTAAGATGTTCGATGAAAAGGGATTTCAGGGATTTCAAATGTGGGACAAGAACGTGAATGAAATTTAGGTATATGGAAGTTTATAGGCTGTAAAAGTTCTGGGCAAGATATAACACCATTTATTAATTTAAATAGAAAGCAGATGTCTGTATATTTCCGTCTATTAACAAGGGGATCTAATTTGAGGGAATCCTGTATAGAATTAAGGGATATTGACTCAGATGGATGATTAATGGATTGTATACATCTCTTATATGCGATTAAACGTAAAAATCTTCTTTGTATACGCTCAAGCGATTCCATCAAACCGACTTGTGAGAGGTTCCAAATAATTGAACAGTAGTCCAACGCAGGTCTAACTAAAGAAACATACAAAGTTTTTAGACACTGTTCGTTCCTAAACTCTTTTGTATTCCCAATTAAGGAGCCAAGAGTTCTTAAGGACTTCGTACAGATATGATCGACATGTGAATTGAATGATAGATCGGTTTTAAAAACTACCTCAAGATCTTTATGGATACTAATATCCTCAATTTAATTTTCAAAGAGATGATAGACATTACTTAATTTGGTTCTTGAACGGGAAAAAGACATTTTGAAACACTTAGTGGTGTTCAGTTTTAACCCATTTAATTGACACCAATCACAAACTCTGTTCAGGTCATCTTGAATTTTATAATGATCATAAATTGTGACGACATTTGCATAAATCTTGAGATCATCAGCAAACAGTTGGCATTTACAGTATTTGAAACAAGCACCTATGTCCAGAATAAATAATGCAAATAGCAGTGGTGATAAATGCCCCCATTGGGGAACACCAGATAGTACTGGTATTTGATTTGATAGAAAACCATTTATTTTCACCTGTTGAACCCTATTAACGAATTAAGAACTAATCCAAGTTAACAAATGATCGGATAAGCCGTATGTCTTTAATTTTGCAGATAGCACTGAATGGTTAACTGAATCGAAAGCCTTGCTGAAATCTGTATAAATAACGTCCGTCTGAATTCCGGATTCCATAGAATTTGCCAAGAAATTATAAAACAGAGAAGATTAGTTTCCATAGAACGCCCTTTCCTAAATCCATGTTGGTTATTACCTAAGATGGTTTTAAAAGAAAATATTAATGCTTTTGTCACTAGTTTATCTAACAATTTTGGTAAAGTTGATTGTTTTGCAATCAGTCTGTAATTAGCTATTAAAATTTTGTTACCAGACTTATAAATGGGTGTAATAAAACTGGTTTTCCACTGGGAGGGGATAGAGCCAACAATTAATGAACGATTAAATAATATACATAAGGGAACAGATAGCGAAAAGATACAAGACAGTAACATAATATTAGGAATACCATCTGGACCAGGTCATGGATTTAAATCTAAAAAATTAATGGCTTCAAAGATCTTGCTAACAGAGAATGAAATATATGGTTGTACCTGGTATATATCTGCGTAGTTTTTTGAGTATCCAAGACATTCACCAATATTCAATTTGTTGGTAGAATAAACCGAACTGAAAAATTCTTTAAAAAGATTAGCGACCTCAGGGCCACCTGTTGATGACTTCTCCTCTAGCATCATAGTTTGTGGTATGCAATCATTAGTTTTTAATCCATTGATGTATTGCCAGAAGAATTTTGGATCAGAGGTAAGGTTAGATTGGATTTTTTGTAAATAGCGCAAGTTACACAATTTAGATTCCCGTTTGCATAAACTATGTAATCGCGAAAATTCATTGTAGATGTGAGGATCTTTTGTAACTTTAAACTCTTTATGTAATCATTTTTTATTGTATATTAAAGATTTTAGATTCCTACTATACCATTGAGGGTACTGGTTTTTATGTTTATACATTTTGGGAATAAACGAGTTCGAGTTAATTGCATCATGAATAACTGAATAGAAATTAGATATGGTGACAGAAAAGTCTAACGAATCACTTAATAAAGAATCCCAGTTAATATTATTTAAGTAAGCATTCATCGACTCATAATTACCATGTCGGAAATTAATCTCTGGGAACGGGAATGGTGTTTTAAGAGTGGAAGCAAAATTTGGACCATTTATCTGAAGTGGAGGATGGGCAACGTCAACAGAAATTAATGGAAACGAACACTTTGAAACTTCTAAATTATTGTTATCGGATATTACTAAGTCTAGTATATTATTTCTATAATTTTGTATAAAATTGTGTTGGAAAAACTGCTCAAACGCAATAGTCTCAGCAAGGACATTTGATTTATCAGTGGCACGACCATATAATATAGCGTGATGTTTATTAAACCAGTTTATCCCAGGTAAATTAAAATCACCAACTATTATAAAAGTATAGTCAGAGAAGATTAACCTTAGGTTATCTATCTCGGCACATTGACATTTATATACATCAACAGAACTATTAGGAGGGATATAAATAGCCACAATAATGATTTTATAATTACTTGAAATTAATGAAACAGCTAAGCATTATAGTGAAACATTAGATAAGGTAAGAACATTAGGACAAAAACGATTATGAATAGCGATAAGAACACCACCTCCTTTAGAACGGTCACTATTCAAATCATTGCGATCATTACGAAACACAGAATAGTCAATCATACCAAGTTCATTACTATCGATATTATTTGTTAACCACGTGTCAGTTAAAATAAACTAATCGTAATGGTTTAAGGAAGCAAGGTTAATACGAACTGTAGATAATTTTGATTTTAGACCGCGGACATTTTGATAATAGCCAGATAACGTGTTACAAATATTTCTTAACTTATGGTTAAAATTTACATAGAATAGATGATTTATATTACATGACGATTGAATGAGGGGTGTACCTGAGCCACAGATCAGTTTTTTTAAGCCAACGTAAGTGAAACGCGAACATATTTTATGAACCAAATCCCATTATTCAAACTATTCCTTCTATCCCGTTCTTTTTTTAGGTCTAATAGGTTGGACCTTTGTAGAACAGTTAAATCAGTTGTAATCCAAATGTTTTTCCAAAAATGGTTAGTTGATAGTATTTTCTTAGATTTTAAGACTGCAAAGACCGACTGGGGACACTCAAATTCAATTCTAATAGGTCTCGGTTTATTCGACTGTTTTACAAGACGAACAGCTGAAGTGATAGGAACATCAATATGTAACGATTTTATAAGATCATTAGCAAGCTTCGTCACGTCATCTTGAGATTCAACAACATTAAATTGTAATATATTACGGGACTTATTTTCTCTTTCCTGTATTTCTTTAACAAAATCAAACCCAGGAATGTTATTAGCAGTGTTAGATGAACAAGTATGGTCTAGAGAATTTGTTTTCAGTTTTTCGATGTCTCTTTTTAATTCCGCATTTTCGTTTTTTAATGAAATAATTTCGGTTGAGAGAGTATCCATTATATTTAAAATGGCTGTTGACGTATTTTCTTGGGTCAACAGTTTAGAGTTGATCGATTGAATGTCATTACGCATTATTTTGAGGGTATTCATAATATCGGCAAAAGAAACATAATTATTGTTTGTTTGTTATTTATTTATTTTATTTATTTCAATTTTATCTATATTATATTGTTGCGCCAAACAGGCAATTATTTGAATTTTACTACTTATTTTTGTGTTGCTGTAAGTTTTATATATAACGTTTTACCATTTTGTTACCAGCAATACATTAAATATTTAGTTACCATTTTTAGTTGTTTCTTGTGTATTATTTTATTCTAGTTCTTAAGTACACACACGACATTTATACACACATACACCTTACACATAATTTTCTCATAACATGCATACGTAGTTCGACAGTATTTGCTCGACAATCCCGGCCACTGCTGTTCGAACTACTTTCCAAGCACTACGCACCGCTGATCGGTAGATGTCCGCGGATCGCGTTTTACTATTTACGCTCTCGGCCCGTCCACTCTCGGTGGTATGGCTTTCAGAGGCAATTCAGAAAAAATTGGATTTCTGAACAATGGAAATTGTTTAATGTCGTTGGAACCTATTTCAAAATTCGACCCATTCTTAGCTTCACACTTTGAAAAATTTGGTAATAAAGGTAAAGGATCTACATCCTATTTATCATTTCAAACATATGAGCAGATAATAGCTTTAATGTCAGATACAGTTCTACAAACTATTGTTAAAGAAATCCAAATAGCAAAATATTTTTCTATAATAGTTGACTCAACTCCGGATGTATCACATGTTCATCAGCTGTCATTTGTTATTCGATATGTAGACGGTAAAGGATTTCCACAGGAGCGCTTTCTTGGTTTTTTAGGTAATACTGGTCATAAGTCTGAACAACTGTGTGATGCAGTGTTGAGTACTTTATTTTTGTATCAATTAAATACAGATAATTTGAGGGGACAATCGTACGATAATGCTAGTAATATGTCATGGGCATATTCTGGCTTACAAACGAGAATAAAAAAAATATGTCAATTTGCTGAATATGCTCCATGCACTGCACATTCGCTTAATTTAATAGGAACTTCTACAGCAAGCAGTTGTCTTAAAGCCTGTAATTTACTTAGAAAATTAAATTCCCTTCAATCTGCTTTTTTGGTTATTTTCTGGAGTAATATTCTCGAACGATTTAATATGATAAGTAAAAAGCTCCAGTCTATCAATATTGATATAATTACTGTTGTTGAACTTTACAAATCTCTGATTCATTACTTAATAGCAATTCGAAACGGAAAATCATTTGAAAAGTATGAAGATCTTGTAAAAAAAAACTCTCATATCAGTATGTATGATGAATCTGAAAGTCGAAAGAAAAAAAGAAAGTTGCATAGTGATGAGACTAATTCCAATATCACGACTTTTACAAAGCAAGAAGATTTATACATCAACATTTATATAGTTGTTATTGATACATTATTGCTTGAATTAAAAATAAGAAAATCGGCCTATGATATTATATTGAAAAAATTCTCTTTTTTTTTAATATCGAACAATTATCTTCAGTAGAACTTCAGAAAAGTGTGGAAATACTACAAAAATCTTATCCAAAAAATTTGAATATAAGTTTTATTAATGAAGTTATTTAATTTCAAGGACACTTAAAAAATGTTGCAATTGATGCTCCTAAAACTATAAATGAAATGTTGCAATTTTTAAAATGCAAAGATTTAATTACTGTGTATCCGTATATTGAAATAACGTTGCGAATATTTTTTTCAATACCAGTAACTAATTGTACATCGGAACATTCTTTCTCGGTTTTGAAACTAATCAAAAGTTACTTGACATCTTCAATGACCCAAGACAGGTGTTCCGCATTGGCAATTTTATGTATTGAATCAGACATAACAATTACACTGGAGTTTGATGAAGTTATCAATAATTTTGTTAACTTCAGGAGCAGAAAAAAAATGTTTTAAAAAATAGGTACCGTTTTTAATTTTTTTTAAATATTCATATAAAAAGTTATTTTACACAATTTAAAATTTTTAAAATTTAAAAATATTTATAGCCCTTAATTTGAAATTTGTTTGTTTTTTGTATAAGTGGCTCATTTTTGTTGCCCCAGGGAGTCAAAATTCTGTATACGGCCCTGAGTATAGATATATTTTATTCTAAAAAAATGTCATATGTAATATTTATTTAATTAAGTTAATCTCAAATATTTTATTTATGCTGAAAATGGGGATGTTAATTAAATTTATTATATTAGTTGTTGAATTCAATACTCATGACATTAGTTCTTATATATCAATAGTACACACCTTGACCGATGAAATAGAATTAATAATATTAGAATTTGGAAACATGTTTTAAACATCCCAAATTCCTAACCCTGCAATTTAGTCTTATGTATAATACATGTCTGCGTATTATAATACATCAGATAGGTTTTTTTTTTAATTTTATTATCAAATAAAGCAATCTAATGCATTAACCAGTGAAATAAAAGAAGTAGTTGATGAGCCTGATCTTCTTCATTCAATTTCCTCAGAAAATAATAGTAACCAAATATTTCATGTAATATTTTAGTAGTGTAGATAATATTTATATTATATTTCTTGTATATTTCAAGTTATTAATGAAGTTTTGACTAATGATTTCACTGTTGAAAATGATTGTAATCAACATGACATTGGGCATTATATAAAAAATAATTTTTTAGTAAATAGTTTTAATTTAATAATATTTCAAACGTATGTAGCTCAAGGACAGTTTATAAATAAGCCTTTTCAACGTTATCAAAAGTTTTTAGAAAAAGCAAACAACCATTCAAAAACTCAATGGCATATTGAATCTTCTATACGTTTCAATGATTTTATTAATATAATGAGTAAAAATTCTAGTGTACATCAGATGATAAATACAAACTACAAAAATAACATTGATGCAAATAGAAAGAAATTAATACCTATATTATCATCACTATATTTTTGTGTTACATAATTTACCAATAAAGGGAAAGACGGATGATTCAGCTGTTTTTAATAAGTTATTAGAATTCAGAATTAATGCCGGAAATAATATTTTAAAAGATCATTTGAAAAATGCCCTTAAAAATTTAACTTATATTTCTCACCGTACTCAAAATGAGATGTTAGAATCTATGTCTACAATATTAAAACCGGTTATAACACAAGAAATTAATGAAGCTTCTTATTTTTTCATTATTGCTGATGAAACAACAGACATGTGGTATTGAACAGTTATCCATTTGTATACGATTTTTAAAAGATAAAAATTTGCATGAAGAATTTATTGGGTTTTATACTTTAAAAAAATTTGATGCCGAGTTCATTTCTAAAACAATATTAGAAGCATGTAGTCATATGAAATTAGATTTAAACAAATGTGTGGGTTAAGGCTATGATGGGTGTGCCACTATGGCTGGATGGATAAATGGAGTACAAAAGAGAATTAAGAATATATATTCTAGAGCCCATTTTTTTCATTGCGCTAGTCATCGCCTTAATTTAGTAATCAATGAGGAGTTATGTTTATTACGTAGATTGTGGATATAATAATGTAAATATGCAGCTGTATAAATATATAACATGCATTTCGTTTGCACCTACTGAGCTGATTTTCTGCGGGCGTCTTTGTTTCATGTGACTGCAACTTTTATATAACCTAGAAAATGAGGGAACGGAAAATGTTGAATATCCATGATTTTTAACTTTTTAAATTTGTAAGTTACATTTTATTTACATCAAAACATATTTACGATTTAAATCTTCATAAATCAGGGAACGATTGAATTACATGCTGAATATTATCCTTTTTTTTTTTAAAGACCGGAAATATATCTGCCACCAAGAGCTTAATATTACGCATTAATATCATCTTCTTATTCTTCTTTTTCTTCAGCTTTTTATAATCCATTAAGGCCCATCACTGGTAACTGCTCTAATATCATCTTAATAGTATTAATTATTTTAAAAATGATATTTCAAAAAATGTTGGTCAAACTATTCTCGCTAAACAATACCCTATTGATTTCTAATATTATAATGGTATTTACTACATTTTGTTGAATTTATGAAAATACTATTTTCGGGTTCTATGTTTTAAAACCTTAATAAAATAACAATCATAATTTATACTATTATACAAATTAATTAAATTTAGTTCACTCATTTTGAATTCCCGATAATATTACATTATTAGGTATATTATATTGTTTTCCTAATATTAATTTATGTATTAATATGTTTTTAACTGTAATTAGTATTTATTCCCAAATATACATATGTATTACATGCTTCTGTTATAAATAAAATTCTGTCTCTAATAAAAAAAAAATTATTAGTTTACGATATATTCGGTACAAATTACTGCAGTTATGATTGGCTGTATGTAAACTGCAGCAAAAAAAATTTTAAATTATACAAGTTGCGGCAATTTATTTTATATACCTACAATATTATTTACTATGTAGTATTTAATGCGTACCTATGTAACATATACCCATGTACGTATATCGTTTAAATAATTATATTATTTAAAGTCTTGTATGCTCCCATGTTTTATTACCACTTTTTTTTTAATTCATATTTAAAATTGTTTTCCATTCTGGTTAACGATGTTGTAAATTCAATCACGTTGAATTAAATATTAAACTTTTAAGTACTTCTACATCTAATAACAGTAAGTAGGTACTAACTAGTATTATCAAAAGTAAAGGAACCAATATTTAGTATATTTCATTAAAACTTAAAAATACATTTGGATTTACTTTACCATTTTGTACACAAGATGCTACATAATATATTTAATTAAACGATATACATACATGAATATACATAGATACAAATTATATATTATATAATAGATAATATCGTAGGTATATAAAATTAATTGCCGTATAATTTTTAGTTTTGCTTATCGGATTTGTTGCAGATTGTGTATTATTAAATTTTTTCTTGTTGCAATTTACATATCGACTTTTGGAAAAATGTTAATTTTGTCGCAGTTTACCATATCCAAAATTTCTCCAGTCATGATATACGAAAATATGTTTATAACAAATTGCACATCAAGCAAAAATCAAAAGCTTATAATAAAATGTTTACCTTCAGCTTCATAGTTTTTTTTTTTTACAAAATATAATATGAGAATAAGTTACATCCATTATTTTAATAAACCTCACACTATACTATAGTTTTACTTCTTAAATGCTTATAGGTCCGTTGTACAAATTGAATTATATGATTGAATTAATAATATTTTTAGTATTATTCATTGCTTAATTTTATTCACATAAATACAGCATTTTAATAGTATATAGTCCACTTAAATCGTATTCAAAGTAATTTAATTACTTAAATATTGTCATTTAAAATGACAAAATAACAGCAAAAACAAAAATTTCATTTTATAATTAGTTTTAATTTTTTCACTTAGAAAATAATAAAAACTAAAAGATTTTGGAGAGTGAAAAGGTAAACAGTGAAAACGCACACCATTGCTCGTGGATGGAAATTATCTTTAATCCACAAGAGGTTTTCAATTTATTATTCATTTTTTAACGTATGTACCGATGTTAAGTTAGTTCATAGAAACTCATATATACAATGTAATACATATTATGTATATATATATATATATATATATATATTGTAAATGGGTAACATCAATACATTTGTGAATGTATATTTTAATACATGAGAAGTAATTGTGTACATTTATATTAAAATTTTTCGATATACATATATGTGTGTGTGTACAAACTTATTTTACACAATATTCAACGCGATAACACAGCGATATGTCTTTTTACATACCTCTAAGGAATAGAAGTAAAATAGCTAGAAAAACGAAATCACAATTATGTTAATTAGATAATGTTTGACCGAATTTTCGATTTCATAAGACAACTGTATGCGACTACGACGTGTCGGTCACCTGACCCGACCAGAAGGAGATCGCAAATGCGACCTAATATATCCGGTTCGGTAGTCAATTTCCACTTTCGGTGGGTTGGGCGGTAGTCCTCTGTTTTTCCGGCTCCACCTAACACGTCAACAGACATAAACATATATTTCCCGTGACACAAATTAACAATATTTTTACGTTCTTCTAATTACATTTTCAATCGATCTTTTGCACTCGCACCAGTGAGATCTAAACAATCTTTGGTTTTATATTTTATTTTTTTTTTTTACATTTATTTTACATCACCAAAAACCGCATGCAATTACCGTTCTAAATCGCCATGCAAAGTGTAACGCCCACATAGGGTACAAAAAGAAGAGGTTGTGCTCAACAGGATACAATCATAATATTGAAGTATATTATAATCGTTATCATGTTCACGTCGTATGAATTTTGTTCTTCACATATTTTTGTTATTATTTTTATTAGATATTAAATATGATACGAGTATTGTTATACGCACACGCACACAAAACATTACTCTGATCTCAACGTAATGTAATACATTAATAAATAATAAATCAAATCAAATACGAAGGTTTTTTTACACTGTTAAAGCCAACAACCACTTCTTTTTATTATCATTATCCTACTACTGCAGCATCTATCACAAGGCCTTCCCCAAGCTACAATTCATGTTATTATTATATTATATATATATATATGTATATATATAGATGTATTGATTCACTCTCAACAATTTCCACAAAAAAATTCATGCTTTTTTTTTTGGTTCACGCTACACTCACCTAGCGCTATGACTCAGTAGTATAATATTCCTGAAAATAATTGTTAAAAACATAATAGGTGAGTGTTTCGTCCAGTTCATAGTTAAATATGCCTAAACCGCTCACATTGAATGTTATTTTATGTGCAATTTACCTGAGTAATCGAAAAATGTATTCGGGCCAGTTGTTAGGAAACATGACCAATAAGAAACCAATTGATATTAATATGATGCCTGCAAGTTTCATACCATAAAACTGCACATCATGTATGGTTATGTCAATCGCTGAAATAAAACAAAATGTACAAATGGGTATATAAATGTGTATATCAAAAAAAAAAAAAAATTATCACACTTTATCTACAATTTAATACTTATTGTAATATTCATTAATAACATTACTTTTAGTTAAATACGATAGTCCGTCTTTCTTGCCACAGACACGTTTAATTTTAATAACGTAAATATAAACACACTTGCCTAATAACGCAATATATAAGAGTATAAAATTATTTATTTTATTGATTTAAATTAAAAAGATTATTTGCATTTTTCTTGTTTTTGTTTAATTTATGAATAAATTAAATACAAACAAATATAACTCCTCGTTCATATTAAAATATTAGTAATTCTAAATACAAAATACAATTTTTTTTTGTAATTTTTATTTTTGAAATATATTTCTTAATTTTTATTACATATTGCATTTATTAAAGATTAAAGTGCAAATTTCAGAGTGTATTATCCTGTTTTTAATTTCTGAAATTAATAATTAATAATATTTGAATCTACAATTTAGGTTCTGTACAATTTTATGCTTTATGCTATATATTTTGAATTAAATAAAAAAAAACCTAAAACTACTCTATTTGGCAATATTCAACCATCTTGTGGCACGTTAAGTATGTCATTAATCATAATCAAATTTAACTCACATACATTTTTAATAATAATTAAAACTAGAGGGGTGAGAAATTAAAAATATTTTATTTCCCTCTTCCTATAATTAAGGGCATCTACATTGTATTATTATTGAAACTATTGAGTTACCATACTCATATTAACATTGTATATATATATCAGGGGTGGCTCCAAGGCCTTGATTAGGGGAGGGCCAAGTTATAATTTTACAAAATCTTATAAAAAAAAAAACAACAATTTTTAAAACAGAAATTCAAATCATCTATTTTTAAAATTAGCAAAAATATCAATAATATAATCTATTTGATCTAGAATATCTACTTTATGGTATACACTAATTAGATATAATGATGATAGTCTATCTTCAGTCATCATTGAACGAAGCTAGGTTTTTAGTCTCCGAAGTGTAGAGAAACTCCTTTTTTTAACCACCATACCTCTATGGCTCTATCTACATACTTGTGCATGTCGTATGATGTCACATTTTTCGTTATTAATATACATATATATATATATTATAAATACGGTACGGGCTTGATAGGGGGCCACGGTCCCTAGGCCCCCTGGAGCTGCCCTTATATATATATATATATATATATAATTATTTAATTTTCTTACGTTTACCCAAATCTTGCAATTAAAAATCCGTAAAAAAGTTAATTTTTTAAAATAAATGAAATATTTGATATTTTTTCCTTTATTTAGATAAAATAATAGATGTATGAAAAACTATAGATATGATTTTCATTAAAAATATAAATATCTATACTTTAATTAATGTACATTTTTACGATAAGTTCAATAATTTATTGATTAAAAAAACGACAAACCAACCCTACTTCGCAATTTTTCAACCCTCAGACGGCACGTGAATGGGGTTAGTAATCATCTGGGCTAGGATTTGTATACAATAAAAAATTGTAAAATATGCAAAAATATGTATTTAAATTTTTATAAGATAAGCACAAAAATATAGTTACAAAAAAAATATGTATTTATTTATTTAAATACATCAGTGGATGGCTGTTTGTCTTAATAAAATATAATTGAGAAATAAAATAATTTAGAAAAAAAATTTATAATTCACATTCACTACGGGTGTTACATACTACGATCACATATTTTTTTAACCTAACCTAACCCACCTTTAGAATCGAGATTACAACACAGTATCCAACTTTAAATGATGGTATTTTCATTTTACTATCTTATAGTATAATGAAATAATGAATAATTTTAAGTAAATATGAAAATCAAAATTATTTTACTTGAAACATTTTTTCGACTTGCTTTTCTATTCCTATAGCTCCTAAATAACGTGCTTCGTTAATTTGTATATTCTCCTCACATAAATTACATAAAATTGCTTTGCCGGAGTCCGTTTCCATACAATATTCTATTCCGTAAACATTATATTGAACAGTTATTTTTTCGATCTCACTTTGATTTCTTCTTTGTAGATTTCTTCTAAGTCTTCTTCCGTTACCAATTTTTGTAAAATTTCTACTGGTAAATTGGATGTAGCTAATCCAACTTTCGGATCATTCCCAAATAAAACCTTTTACGGTAACCTACCAATCACATGATGATGAGAACTATATTTTTGAAATTGAATAAATTGTAGTCCAATTAACCATTTCTTTGTTTTGTTATCTTTCATCCAAGCTCTTAACATATTTTCTATGTTCTGGTTGCTTCTCTCAATACTTCCCTGGCTCTGCAGGTGTCTGAGTCGACCATGAATAATAACGCAATCTGGCCAAAATTCTTTCAGTTCAGAATTGATAAATTTCCTACCGTTATCGCTCTGCAGTATTTTTGGTGCGCCAAACGTAAGAAAAATTGTTAATAAATTATTAGCTACTTCAGAATTTAGTACTATGATCTTGATAATTTAGTATCCATTTAAATTTTCCATCAGGAACTGACTGAAAATCTACCAGATCTACTTATCCTCTTTCATTCAAATCTTTACTGATAATTGGTTTAATGACTAACTTATGGTTCATGTTTTTTTACAATTACGTATCGCACATGTTGATTATTTAATTTGACTTTTATTAAATTTTATATCATTGAATTTATTTCGTCGTTGCTGCGTGGTTTTTTGTCAGGTTTATCATTATATATAAATCGAGTTTCGTATAAAACTCATTTTTTTCGTCAAACAACATTATTTTATTTATTTACTAACGAAGTATATAAAAAGAAAAAATAATATGCACTATTTTACTATTTATATACACTTTGCAAATACTAAACACACACGTATTGAACGATCGTAGCAAAATGCATTAGTGGGTCGAATTTTCGACAATTATCGACCGATAATAGTCAAATTTTCGACTATTATCGGTCGATAATAATGCTTATAAAATAGATAATATCTAAATACAATATTGTGACTATCGTTTATGATAAAACAAATAATAATTATTGTTACTCCAAGCAAACAGCTATGTATGGACATCCAAATAATGGTAAACATACTAGATTTATTAAAGTACCTATTTGTAAAACATTTTCTTAAAAATAATTGTAATATATAATAATAATATATTATAATAGATAGAAATTAAAGTTTTTTTTTTTTAATTTTTACCATATGGACATCCAAATGACAGAACAAGTTCCGTCGATGATGTTTAGGTATCCATTTAATGAAATATCCATATTATGTAACAACGTGAAGTGGAGAAATCGCAGTTCCATATCGCGAAATGGATGTAAACGTTGTCGACTTCGCGAAACGTACAATAACGCGATATGGATGCGACATATACATATATTATTATACGTTAGAAAGGTACATCATAATAACAAAAAAAATAATTCAAGTTGAACTTATTTTTAGTGTTCATCCGCAATCACCAAGCTTGGAAAAAGATTTTAGATTATTGATTTTTTCTTGATAACGTTTTCATAAACTTTATATGATAATGAATAAAATAATTGTAAGTAAATCTATGCTCATTGCGATTTATAAGCATTCAATTTTAGTCTATAAAATTATAACTAATAGGTAGTACAATTATTATTTTATTTAAATTTATTTCGTTTAAGAAAATATAAATAACTGTATACAAAACACATCAAACTTCGTGCGATTACTCATACAAAACACGAGTTTCAAGTACAATCGAAAATTTACCTGCAGACACAGGAACCGCAGTGATTAATCCAAACGTAATGAATATGTCATATGTAAATGCGACGCTCAAATTTCCCAGTAGATTGGCGACTGAAAATTACAATAATTACATTATATACAACATATTTCCAGATGGATTTTTTTTTTTGTTATTTTCTTACCTAATGATAGTGTGCTGGCCGAGAGCAGTATCATCCATGGTAAACGGTCCCAATGGAGTATTTCGATTTCGGAGAAATATAATACCAAACATACGGGCCAAAGTAGAGCAGCATTCAATAAGCCTATTAGGGAAAAAAATAAAGAAACTTGACCATACGTAGCATCACCGATCATTTTTTTGAACATAACCTGTAGATTATAGAACACAAAATTAGTTTTTAATATCATTAAATATTTTCGTTAGAAGCTTAATAGTTTTGCCTATATTACCAAATTTAAATTGATTATCAACTACACTTATTAACGATGTTGCTTGAAACATTATCGTTATTTAATTTTATTTAAAACGAGCACTGCTCTTTTTTTTGAAAAAATTTAAATATAGAATTTTGAAGACAATATTCTGGAATCTTATTTTACGTATCATAATATCATTATTGGATACATTTTATTTGAATAATAAGACTTGAATAAATTGCATGTATGTTCTAATTAGGACAGTCTAAAATGTTATGAGAAAAAACGTAAAAAACAATAACAAACAGCAAACGGACATGTCCTACGGTATTCAATAATACGTGTCGTCGCATTCATTAGATCGCAATTTGTACACTTAATTTGGATAGTAAAAAATCTGATACAATAAAATTTTTATGTCAAACAATCGATTTGTTTGATCAAAATTTAAAAATGAAAAACAAAAATCTGCTGTTCTACTCGTAAGACTTACTTTGTATACAGCCGACCCAGCGGCAGCCAATGCCGCTAATAAGACTCCGGTCATTGTTTTCTTTTTGTTCGTGATCCCGGCGTCCATGTAAGCGAGCAAAGCAACGCCCGTGCTGCACAGAATAACGGCCACGATCTGTAAACGGTTATTATTGAAAATGGCACTGGCTGCGATCGATATGGATCCGCCTTCGTGGTTTCGCAAGTTAGGTTATACATAAAAAACAAAGCATTCTGCATTCAAAAAGCATTTTTAAATACTTCACCGTCGATATATGAACATATATAAATAACGGACATGCACCTTTTCACAAGCAAATTGTCACATTGAAAAATAAAAGTACATAAATAAAATGAAATAATGAAACCAAATATAATTTTATGTTAAAATATATTATTATAATGTAGAAATAAAACGTCAAATTATAAAAATAAAAGTAAATATAGTATAGAACATACACACGCACACACATATCGTACAACAATACGGTTATATTTGTATAGTATACAATCCACAATAATTGTGAATTCGTTTTTAACCGAACATAGAAGCAGCGTATTATAAACAATTAACACAATAATAATAATGTATAACATAATATTGTATACATGGTTGTTACCACGAACCGTACTCACCCGGACTCCGACGAATTGATCGTGTAGTATGACCCAGGACAGTAGGTACACGCAACACACGTTAATGGCAAACAGGGCCAAAGCGTCAGTGGCCACGAGAATGCTGAGCGCGTGTATGTATAAGTAATTAGTGAACACCCAGAGCATGCAAAACATGCAGCACCGGGTCAGAAAGTGTGCGGCTGTGAACCCACGGTCCCGAAAATTGCGCACGCTCTCTCCAAGTATGTCCGTGGGCGTCTGATAATTGGGGCTGCCCAGCTGACAAAAAAAGTACAACGGGAAAAACAACACCGTCCAGTTTGTGCAGAACCATGTGGTGAAAAAAGGCGCGTTATACGTCATCAGCTATATAAAACATTTCTCAAGATGAAATACGTCGCTATGATAAGTTTTCTATATACCTCGCATTCGATAACGATTTCGGAAAATAATAGAAATTAAAGTTTTTTTCTCGCCCTTCTTTCCTTGTATATACCTTCAAAAAAGTAGGATAATTTGAAATAAACTTCTCACAGTTAAATTTATTTGCATAATTTTATTATTAAAAGCAGAATCTACATTATATGGCATTTAGAGTCTCAAAGCTAAAAATATTATGTCCTGATTTCAGTAAAATTGTGTTAATTTGTACATATTCATTCCCAAAACTAGTGCACATTCACAAACTTATATCAAGAATTAGTAAACCTATGACATTCTTATGGATTCTCTTCCATATTAGGATAACTAGCAACGGGAAAGCAGATATAATATGGTCAACGAAGCTATCTTAGCTATCTTAGCTCTCAATATTGTTGAAACTAAAATTAATAATTTTTTTTTATTTATATATAATATATATACAAAGCGTGAGTTGAAAGAAGGAGTCCATTGACACCACTTAAAAAAAAAAAAAAAAAATAGAGAGAAATAAATAAGAGTGGGGGGTATAGTCTAGGGTGAGTTATAGAAGATCTAGCCCAGAATGAAAATTAGTAAAAATATTAGGTAAATTAATTTCTCTCTGACAATTTAAAAATGTCGAACTAAATACCAAAAATCAATTTTTTCCATTATAATGAAAATAAAAGAAGTAAGCATAACCATAGCATGAGTAGGACACACCTATCTAACACATTTATGTCTTATCAAAAAAGAATTGTGTACTAGGTATCTATGACTTACAGTATAAAACATAATGATTAACCTAACCTAAATACACCAAAACCCAGACTCATTATACCAAGTCCTCAACAAGAAAAATAAAACTGACATTTTTTAGTTGTTCCAAAATATAAATCTAAGTCAAGTTGTTGTTAAAACCTTAATTATTTAAAAAAAAATTCTTGAATTTATACGTTGACATTATGTATACCTCTTTTCAATACCTACTAAATCCAAATCGTAGAGTTCTTAAAACCACAACCTAACCTAACCTAACCTAACCTATGGCTACTGTAAAAATGATAGAAAAGATAACGGACAATCCAATTTTTGTTGACAACTTATTGATGCAAGATACGCATTTCCATTTTATAAATCTATATACGTTAAAATTTAAATAAAACAGTTCTTATATAAATATTAATTTTAAAACATAATATTTTCAAATTTAGGGCTCTTAATGAAATATATTATATATAATGTCGATTCTGTTTTCATTAAAAAAAACTATGTTAATATATTTTTTTTAATGTTCTTAATTATTTAAAACTTTCCCGTTTTCCTGGAAAACCCTGTATTATAATAATATTGCTTCTCAAAAGAGTATTATAATAAATCGTGAACTCGTCATGGAGGTAGAATACTATAGATTATCTAGTGTAAAAAAGAAAAATTCGTTACACGTAGCTACGTCGAATAAAGAGCCTCTGCAGTCATTAGTTATCACAAAGGTTTCCGGGAGACTACTTCTCCGGAATAATAATCACAGTACTAATCACTATAATTTTTCGAATAATCCACTCAGTGAAAATATAATAAAAAAAAAAACCATAATGCGCATTATATCGATTTAGAAAAATGAAGTGATAAAAACGGTTTACGGCCATATTATATACATGGTATGCACACCAATATATAACATTACACAGTACTCTCTCATTTACAACAATGCACATGCGTTTCGTCTAATCGGAAGTGGCATATGAAATGGAAATTTTAGCACGTTTCGATCTGCTCCCCTTATCCAACAATCCACTGAGCTACTGAGACTATATTATTTCGACATCTTGCAAACGTGATTACATTATAGTGTATTACATTATATTTAAATATACGGTACTGCTGTTATACGTCGGAATTACCTCATGGTTTGTAAAATCAATATGTTTACCGTTTGCTGGTGTATAGACGAAAAGTTAAACCCGCTGCCGGTAAGAACCGGATACTTGGTTGGATGATACATGTACAGGTACTTGATGGCGTGTGTGGCTCCCACCCATGACGCAGTCACGAAGAACGTCACACAAAGCCCGTAGTACACCTGTAGACAGACGACATCGTATACATGGCATGAAAAATAATATATAATCGCAATCAATAAATAATCTGCAGTGGCGTGCCTGAAGACCGTCCAAGATGATAGGAGTGATTTATAATTGAATGTACCCGGCACACAAAGTACAATAATGAAAATTTCCACTCTCTTACTCTCAAAACTAGAATATGTGTTTCACTTCAATCTTCAAATACACCACTGATTAGAGCATATTATTCGTGTGCTAATAATTGTAGGCACCTTTCTCGCATGTTTCGAACAACATTTGTTCTTCAGCCTCTTGAATATACCCAACTGCCTTCTCTGGCATTGTTCCACCTGTTCCACATCTTCGGGCTGACATACTGTATCCAAAAAATAATGGTTTATATTTTATTCTTAACAGGGGTCTCGGCTCGAAAAATACTAAATATATCGTTTAAACGAAAATTAATCAAAAAACCTCATTAATTTTTGTTAAGGTACGGTTTCCCTGCAGCGTCTAGACGCGGCGTCTGACGCCAAGACCCTAGATTATGTATTTTGTGTATGACTGGTTTCGCTACTCGCGTTTGACGCGACGCGCCAATCGCTTTGACGCGGCGTCCGGCGTCAATACCGGTCCGGACCAGTGTTGCGTCAAGACGCCTGGAGTCAACTTGTCAACATGTCGATTAAAAACTTTTTATTTTCCCCAACAGAGGACGAAATTTTGATTTCACTAGTGGAAAATAATAAAGTTATCTTCGATAGTGCCCATAAAAAGCACAAAGATAATTTTAAAAGGTTTTCTTTTTTTTGGAATTAAGTTCATAAGTAATTCATTTTCAATTTCTTCATTACGAAGCAACAATTCGCAAATAGTATTATTATTATTAATGATACTGTTCAAAATAAAATGTTGATTCATTTTTAAAAATCAAAAAATCAGATCATAGGTATGTGGAAACTACGTGTGGAAGAGACAACGGTCGCAGTAGTACTAAAAGAATGGGATAAAATAATAAAATTTGCAGCGTCTGACGCTACAGAGAAAATAGGGTAAACGCAGCGTTCAGACGCCGCGTCAAGACGCGTCGTTCTATCGCGTCTAGACGCTGCAGGGAAACCGTACCTTAAATATTCTATAAAAACGATTATTTTTCTCGAACAAAGTGAATTAACTGAAAAGACTAATTAACAATAGAATGGAGCAAATAATCAGTTAAGGATATAAATTAAGAAAATATTAAATCTTAAATCAAATGACTGTACATCTCAAAGTTAGCTTAGGGACTAGAACAGCGGTACACATGAGTCCATTCGCTCACAATCAAACAAACTTTTAAAATATTTAATAATACAGTAGGTTATCGCACCCCCCCCCCCCCATTTTAAGACCTGCATACACTTAAAGATAGATTTTATCGATTTTCTAGTAATTATTAACGGTGCATTTAATGCATTATTATATAATATGTAGTAAATCATTTTTTCTATGAGAAACTACAGCTACCTATATATAAATCCAAGCGATCAAATAGACACAACCAAATATTCAAATTAAAGTCTAGATAATTTCTTGATCGAAATTATCGTTTGTTTGTATATTTTTTAACTATTTTAACCAGGGTTTCAAACCGGTTAAAACCGTTTTTTTTATTATTAATCGGTTTTATTAGAAAATGTGTATGAACGAAAACAAAAATGGAGCCAAAATTACTAATTTTTATAGAACGAAAATGAAATAGTTAACCAGAAAAATATTTTTCGTTCTCGAACGGAAATAAATATATTTTTAATTACAAAAAATAATTAATATTTAATTTTAGTTTATACACATTTTGTTAAATTGGTCAACCTGTTTTGTTTGACAAAAGACAGGTAAAAATTATTAGATAAATATAAAATAATTTGCAAAATAAAAATTGAACAGTTCGTAAGTGGGACTACTAGTTGTAACCCCACACTACTGTAGATAATACGTGAACACGATTAATGACAACCAGAAACCACATTGTTTATTGTTACAATACCATTTTTAATGGACGATGGTATTATCTTAAATTGTATCAAATATTTGTAAATTTGTTCAACATTTTGAATTAATATGGTTCTTCTTTTTTGTCTTATTCGATAATAAATATTACAATTAATGTTGTTCATTATGCATGTTAGTATATTCAAAATTGTAATAAAAACTTAAAAATGTGTATCATATTATTAATATATATATGTATTATATGTGATGGGTCGAACCCTGATTTTTTAAATCGAACCGAACTTGAACCAAACTTTAAATTATTTTTTCAAACTCGAACTGAACCGAACATTCATATTTTCTACCGAACCTATTATGATTTTAAGTCAAACTCGAACTCGAACTCAATATTTTTTATCATGTACATTGTACCTACCTACAAATTAAATCAATCATAATTATTAATTACTATTGTATTTTAAGTTTTCTTAATACCTATTCTACATTTTAACTTTTAAGTCTAAGTAATTGTATCATTTACAATACCTACATTTAAATTTTAGATAATTTCTAATTATTATTATTATTTTTCAAAACCAGTATTGTACTCTCTCGTGTTGTCTTGTAGCTTATTAAATATTCATTGAGTATTGAGTATTGAGTGTAATATGACAATACAATCAGTATATTTTAATAATATATAAAAATAATTATAATAATAACTATAATTCACAAATATAGAATGATTAGTAGAATTTATAATGTAAGACGTAAGTTGTAAGCATGTTTTTATTAAAAGAACAGTCGCGGTATCAGAATATTACCATGGATTTACCCAAAATAGATTTTAACCTCTACAATAAATATGATAAAAACAAAAATAGCTAATTTATGGATGTAGATACACTGCCTCTATTGGCAATAAAGAACTTATTAATGTTTTCATCGGCGAAGGGTGGATGTGTAACATGCGACTGGAAAAATAACATTATTATTATAAATAATACATAACGTGCCCTTTACAGATATCACTTTCTATCGCCAATAGCCTAATTATTTCTAAATAATCATTATCAATTTTTATTTTTCAAAAATAACTTTTGAAGAATAGTACAAATATTTAGTTTTCGAACTATCGTGACCAGCAAGTCTGGTTCGAAAAATATTTTCAATTTCGATTTTCGAACAGTAAAAGATATTTGATAGTTCAGTTCGATTTTTTTTCATACAGAGTTCGAATTTCGAAAAATTCGACCCATCACTAATATATATTTATATATTAATATACGACCTCTGAAGCTAAAAAAAATATATATTATAAATTTATAAATTATGAACTTATTTTAAGAATATCTCACGATAGTTGAATTTCTTAATTAATTATTTCATAATTATGAGAATGAATTGTCTGAGGTATAAAATTGTTATAAAACAATATATTTTTTTTAAAAGAACAAAATTAACTGGTTTTATTACATTTAAAACCGGTTTTAAAAAACTATAAAATATAAGATCAATATTAATTAGTTTTTAAAACCGAATAAAATAGTAGATGAACTAAAATCATTAACCACAAAAAATCATTATGGTTTGAAGCCCTGATTTTAACATATTTATTATAATATATTCGTAAAAAAAATAATTTCTATTTTTCACGAAATATTGTCTAAAATCGTTTAAAATTACTAGTAATATTAATTCCCTCGAAATTATTTTGGACTTAGCTTTGTTCCTTACAAACGATTTTATATTTACAAAGAAAATTTTGCGCTAATCTGTGAAAATAAATTTAGTGATTTTCAAGTCCTGGAATCTACCTTAAGTAAAACCTAATGTTCCTGTATTTGTTGCAAATGAATTACGTCACCGGATTGTCGATAATATTACAATATTAGGTACACTACTGGATATTTATACGTACGAGATTCGCTCCTGGATAATACGTGCGAAAAAGGACCATAGGGCCGGTGGTCCGATGTCAGCACCGCGTTACTCTGTGACAATCTAGGCTTCCGCGGGTTGAATATGGTAGGCACATCATTTTCGACCTTCATCACTCGAGTATCTATAAAAAAATATCCATTACAAGTTATTTTTCATCGTTATCGTATCGTTATTATTGGAAATTTCACCGTTGTGTTTTTGAGTAAAAATTATATTGTGACGTCAAAACATTATACATTATAATAATTTATTCGTTTAGTTGTTTTTTGGATTTATGCTCGTAGAACACGGGACTCTTAGATTTAATCAACATTATTTTACTTTAAACCTACTAAATTGGTCATTTGATATTATATAACTATCAGATCCATGAATTAGTCTCTAAAACGTTTATCCATTCAAGCCGATACAATCGTGATGTGTCAATATGCTCATAATGTTGATACATGAACACTTTGGTATAACCATATTTGCTTATTGTACGAATAAAAAAATCATCATAATTAATTATGAAAAAGAAAAGAAAATATTTTTCACTCTTAAATTCATCAAATACAAAATTTTTTCTTGTTTTTATAAATGTTCATCAGTAAAAATTCAATACGTAGTTGTACTGACATTATAATTACTTGGAATTACTTCTATGACGTGCGAAGACCACCTAAAATATACCTGATATTATTTATAACACAATATAATTGTGTAAATTGGACTAAACTCTATTAATTTTGTAGAAACACGTTTTAACCAAAAGATATATTTATTCTATCAAAAAAAAAAAATATTTTACTTATTTCCCTGTGTTCATTCAAATGTGATTTGTATAAGAACTATTTAAGTACCTACCTACTTACTCGTATCAATTTTAAAAGTTTATTTGGAACCAACCCAAAAATTAGAATCATACATACTACAATATATTTATCAAAATCATATTTACCTCAAGATAAATTTAAAATTACCTATAATCCTTCTCCGAAGAAGACTGTTTCCATAAGGATTTTGCTTTCTTTTAATTGTATTTATTTTCTATCTTCATTTATGAAGGTACTTATTTTAATAGTTGTTTTTAGTGTTTCGTACATAATATTTACCTGAAACAGTTTTAGTTTTGATTAATTTTCTGTAGACTTAGCTAGCATTATCACTAAAATTGGTGAAAAAATAAATATCTATACCTTTACTGTATTTATTTATACAATGATGAGTTAATAAAAAAACATAAACTTATAAATAACTTAACTTTCATTTAAATGCCAAAAAATAATATTATTTTTATTTCACCATTCCTCTATAATTCAAATTATTATTATATTATTTTTATTAGTGACTCAGTCAACCGTTATTATATTATTTATTTGAAAATTGATACAAGATATAGTTGTATAGAAATCTCCTTGTCATCACTTACAATTCAGTAATATTGAAATGTTTAAAATTTATAATTGTTTAAGAGGAATCTCGATTGATTTATTTCATTTTTATTAATTTTTTGCTTGTACCTTAACTGAGCTTGTATTCAGGTTTTAATTGTACAATAGTTCTTATTATAAGCATTAAAATGTATTACATATTTTAAAATTAATACGTTATTTAGCTTTATTTTTATTAAATCACCAAAATAGTTCATTTTTTAAAATATTTTTTATAGGATTTATGCTTGAAATTATTAAAATTTCAATATGAGTATTATTCGTATATTTAGTATTCACTCAAATTATTCAAAAGAAATGCTAATCAATAAAAATATCCTGAATTTTATTATTTATCTATAAAATATAATATTACTCATACATCAGAATAATATGCACATCAATGATCACTTACTTTCTATCAAAAAAATATAACATTCTAAATACTATCATTGTTTTACTTGGATTGTTATAAATCGAACAAATCATACCAGGTTAGCACTTATCCTCAATGATGTAGTTATCTAATCCACTGTTCGTATTTTTTATAAATATATTGTACACATTTTTATTTAAAATTTAAAAAAAGAAAACTAATGACAACAATGCAATTATAATATTTTTCCCCTTTTTCTCTTGAGAAATTCGTATCACCCATCAAAGAATCTATGCATATATAATGTAGATTTATCTGGAGAAAATTATGAATATTTCTCTCTTACCCACTTTCTTTTTTTTACATATTATATAATATATAAATATATTAATTTAATAACAATTTAAGATCTAGGATTAATCGAAAGGTGGAAAAATAAAAATTTGTACCAATTGTATGGAAAACCAACTACACAAAAGTATATAAGAACTAAGAGAATGGAGTAGTTTGGACACATTTGGAGAGCTGTAGATGATATACTAAAAAAGGTCATAACTGCAATAATACAAAAAAAAACGACCACTGGATAGACCATGAACGAGATGGAAGGGTGCTGTGGAGAGGAACATTAAATTGGTGGATATGAATGCGTCGGTTGAATATTCATTCAACAGGAAAAGGTTTAGAGACTTGCTTATGGCAGCTCAGGTCCTTCGAGGACCGTTAAGCTGAAGAAGAACAACAACAATAATTTATTAATATTAAATAAATTTCCATAGATATATATAACTTAAAATAAATATAAAATATTATTGTATTATTATTAGTTTGTTAAATAATATTTTTTAATTTATTGAAACGCTATTTTTTATTGATATTCAACATACTTATTCGATATTAAAATTAAAATTTGCCCTCTCCTACACTTTTTTTATAAAAGTTTTACTGGTATCTACACGCACTGAATAAAATAAATAAGAAAATAGCAGCCGTGCATACAAACATAATAACTAGTAGTGGCATACACAATGAACAGTAAATGTATAATCTTACCTTTAAACTGGTGGTCGATGCAGGAACGATTAAACAATCATATACATTTAACAACATGTCACTGGACTTTATGGATATACCTGATGATATAAAATAACTACTTCACATACACCAAAAGTAAACAATATAAAAAAACGTATAGGTATTTTCACACGATATGCGTATAATATATTATTATTTAAATTAATTGATGACGACAACGATGTTTATAGAAGAAAAAACAAGTTGTGGAGTGGGTAAGGGTTTTATTATTCTTATTATTATTATTTTACTAACACGCGTAATTAAGAAATTTAAGTATATAATGCATTATTGTTTCTACTTTTATATTATATGTGACCCGATAACCCTTTCCGCGTTCGATCCGAGTCCGTGCTGTATACACACTGTACAATAACTGTACCACTCAAGCGCTTTTTTCCTTCTCTCTTCTGCAATTTTTATTTTTGTTCTCATTCTTCTTTCTTCTTCACCACTCCTAGCATGCGACCGCAATTGATTTTTCCACCCGCCGCCATCACACAGGGACCGACCTCTGGTGGCACTAATTGGTCAACAGCGGCGGCAGCGACGGCTTCAATGCGCGTGCCCTTGTACGAAGTTTACGATTATAAACGGTGACTGGCTCCCGTTCGGCTCGGCCACAGTTATATCCCTGCATCACACTATCCGTTATCCGTCCAGCTCATCATACATTTTTACGATTTATGTAGTTACTGTCTTAAGTATATCATTTTTATTATGACGAATTCACGAGGTTCTTTATGAATCGACGAATGTACTGGCCTAACTTAAATGGTATATAAAGAGATTAAATAAATAATCAAATGGATAGTCAAATAGATTTCGAGGGTTCCGGGAATTGAAATGTGGAATTTAGTGATTCTACCTTTATTATAGGTTCTGAAATCAAAATATCACAATATCAAATAAGCCGCATCTAGACTTAAAATACAGGATATTTTTCTTTTACTATCAATATATTGATTTGTGACATTTTTATGTTATGTTTAATCAGTCAGTGTTTGATAATATAAAAAAACAGTGTCGAAAAAAATAAATATTAAAATGTACAGTGTATTGAGATGAATGCACGTATCGTAAAACAAATACGAAATACATAAAAAATATTAATTTTTTACCAAGAACCATAAATGACTATATTATATTAATATTATACTTGTAATGGACATTTTTCGAATTTTAAAAAACTGGTACTCCAAAATAATAATCAAAAGTACATATTTCAAACATTTGTCGTCATACTGAGACACTTAAAATAACTTTTGAAAATACCATATATATAGTATGTATAATACAGAACATAAGGGATTTATATGTCAAACTGTTATGAATTTTGAAATATGTTTCAGAGATTTTTTTTTATTACATTTAAAATAAGCTTAAGTCAAAAATTTGATAAATTTCAATTAAAAAATGAATAAATAATTTTGTTACTATATGAACGTGGAAGTATATTATTTTTTTAAAATTTAAATTGTTACTGATCAATTATAAATTACAAAAAAAACAATTATCAACGGTTCTTAGAAAGCTTAATTTATAACTAAAATAACACTTAAAGGTTAGTTTCCTAATTTTAAAAATTATCTGTATATATAAAACAGTAAGCTGATTGACTGCTATCAACGCACAGCTCAAACCATTGGACGGATCTGGCTGAAATTTGGCATACAGATAGCTATTATGATGTAGACGTGCGCTAAGAAAGGATTTTTCGAAATTTTGAATTTAAAGGGTTGAAATCGGTAAAAGAAAATTTTTACATATAATTTGTATTATTAAACCTAACTAACCTAACCTAAAGGTCCTAAGTCGGCGTTAATGCGTTGTCGGCGGATAGAGCCGCGGTAGCACCGTTGTCGTTTATTGTGATTATCTTACATATTATATTTATAGCTGCGCGTGACGAAAACGTTTGCTTATATAAAATGTATACCCACGTGCTGTAAATTATATGTACTTGGCCGCTTTGTCGTTGTCGTAGCGATAGCCCAGCGTTCGATAAAGGACCAGTAAACGGTTTCTGTATACAAGTGTAATATAAAACAGCTTACTGCCGGATTAGTTTTTTAGATTTTTCCGTGTTCGGTTTTTGTTGTCAGGAGGATTAATTTAACATTGTTTAATTTAATTACCTAAGAAATGGCTAAAGAAAGTCTTTTAGTTAATGGAGAACTTGAACAACATACTGTTGTCCCCATTGTTGGCGATGGTGCCTGTTTATTCCGAGCTCTTTCTTTTTTAATACACGGAACACAAGACAATGCGATGGAGGTGCGATCACTAATTGTTGGACATGTGGTGAATGACTGGACCAAGTTTTCATTTATGTCCCACAATAGAAATGGTGATAATTACTCAACGGCCAATGAATATTATGCTGATATGATAAAAAATGAAACTTATGGTGGGCTTTGTGAGTTTATAGCAACGGGATGTATATTTCCATTTAATTTTAAAGTTTATCGAAATGGTATCTTATACACGGAGTCCGGATCTAATGATTGTTCAGTAAAGCTTTTACGATTTGGACAAGATTTGCCCAATGGATATTTTGATGCTTATCTTCTTACTGCGACAGAAAACAATACTCAAAGTCGTATAGAGAAACTGGTCGATGAACGCGAACATTCACCTATTGCATCTTCAGTACACAGTAACATTTCTGCAAACATTTCACTGTCCCCATCAAGTGAAACAGATCAATCTATTTCGTCCTGTCGAAAACGAAGGGCTAGATTTACTAATTACACAAGAAAAAAACAAATAAAAAAAAGCACAAAAAAAATATAGACAGAATCAAACTGAATCTAGGTATAAGGAAAATACTACTATGCGTCTATGGAAAAGCAAGGTGCATTCAGGTATGGCATATGATCCATATATTGCATATAGAACTGACACCTTTGTAGCTTTGGGTTTTGTGACCTATAAGTGCCAGTGGTGCAACGCTTTGAAGTGGAAAGATGAGACACTTGGTATGTGTTGTACCGGAAAAGTACAATTTGAGAGGTTAAAACAACTACCTGAACCTCTCTACAGTTTGGTTAACGCTCTGCACCCAGATCATGTGCAATTCATTAACAATATTCGAAAATATAACGCCTGTTTTCAGATGACGTCATTTGGTGGTAAACAGGTAACAGCAGACGGTTTCTTACCGACTTTTAATGTAAAAGAACATGTCTACCATTTAATTACCTGAACCCGAACAGGGCGCACAGTACCTTCAAATCTATTTTGTCGGTGAAGACGAACGAGAAGTAAATATTCGGTGTTCTAAATATCCTAACTTAAAACCCAATTTAATCAAACAACTGCAGGATATGCTACATCAAGTGAATCCATATATAAAAGATCTGAAAAGTGCCATCGATAAAATACCTCCTTCAGAGTCATTTCATGTATCAGTGAGATACATCGAGCATACGACGCACTGCAGTATCCTTTAATGTTTTGTTGGGGGGATGATGGGTATGCAATCAATATACCACAACGCGATCCAAAAACCAAGTTACCGCTTAAAAAAACTGTCTCTGCATCAAGTTTTTACTCTTATAGAATAATGGTCAGAGAAGGAGAAGACCACTATTTAGTTAATTATCGTTCTCTTTTCAGTCAATATTTGGTAAATGAATACGCCAAAATTGAAACTGAAAGGCTAAATTACATCAAAAACAACCAAGCCAAATTGCGTGCAGATAGTTATATTGATTTAAAAGATGCGATTGGACGACGAGACATAGAAGCTAATCAGTTAGGCCAAATGGTTATACTCCCGTCAACTTTTACTGGTGGGCCAAGGTACATGCACGAAAGAACACAAGATGCTATGACCTACGTTAGACATTATTGTCGTCCTGACCTTTTTATAACTTTTACATGTAATCCTCGCTGAGACGAGATAAAAGAGCTCTTACTTCCCGGTCAAAGATCATATGATCGACATGATATAATTGCAAGTGTGTTTCGGTTAAAAGTCAAAAAGACTATGAACTTATTGACAAAAGGTAAAATATTCGGAGAAGTGAGATGCTATATGTATTCAACAGAACACCAAACTGTAGAGAGGTTCAGGTAGTTGTAAGCTATAACTTATCGAATAGGTTATGATAATAATCATTATCTTAAAAACTAAATTAATATGTATAAAATATTATTTAAAAAATCTTAATTAATTTAAATTTCAATAGATTTAACAAAATTTAATCTTGGCAGGTTACATACATTTATATACTTAAACCCGGCAACGACAGGTAATTCAGCTAGTATTTTATAAAATGAAAAGTATATAGGTACTATACGTAGTCATGTCACTAAAATACAGAACCGTTGCTAAGTCATTAAGGTCATTTTTTTAATTAGAGTAATATGACCAAAATCGATTTTTGTTTATAACAAATGCGTGTATCGTATAAATTACGTAAGCTTTGCCGTATTTTCGTAATTTTCTATAGTTTTGTGAAAGTCTTTATTAAATTACTAAATATCTTTTCTAAACTTACTAGATGCAATTTTAAAAACATCTGTCTTACCTAAAAACGTAGTGTGCACTATTACCTACAGTGTCCCAAGATAATTAATTTTTTTAGTGATGGACGAGAAAAGAGAATTTCGCTGTCCCATTGCTTTACGCTAATACATCTTAATCAGCTATGAAACAGACTAAAAAAATAAACACATCAACGTAGAACTTTACTCTCTAAGAATTAACCACAAATTATTTTTTACCCGTGGTGCGTCCATAATAATGATTATGACCCAGACATGTGTTAACCTTACATGCCCGGGCCTATCTAATTTTTTTCAACTGTTTAATTTTAATTTTTAATTCAAAACCAGTCGTATTTTACAAATATAATAATACTCCAAGCTAAACATTTATTTATTTGTTTATTTCTATATAGGTATAAATAATTGTTTTATTTATTTATATTCTAATATTTTTTTTTACGATTTTTCCTATATTTTGTTTTTTTGAACAATAATTATTAAAAAAATAACAATGAATACACATTCTCGTTAAAACTTAAAAACGCATGTATCTGTATTATAATGTACGTTTTTGAATATTATTTCTATTAATTTTACTGAATTGGCATTCCGTTACTTCTAATATAATTCCAATTAATGATTATACAATATAAGCTTTATATTCTATAAAAAACAAATTTATAACTAATTTGGCATACATTTCAGAGGTTAATTGACATTGTCCACAATCTTCACCAGACTAGTCTAATCAAAAATCGGTGTTTCCGAACAATATCAAATAAAATATATTCGTACAAGTAACGATATAGATACAGCGACGCCGTAATCCAAATAAAAGAAGTACTCGTATACTAATGGGTGTATAGCGCGATAAACAAAATAAATAATACAAAGCCTCAGTTAATACAACTGAATAAAGGCACAAAGCAATAACTCTCGCTTTGCGCACCCGTCAATGTGTCTCCTCCACTTTAAAAATAAAAAAACCATTATACATGTACTTACTTTTATATACAAATTCTTGGGTCAAGTTAAATAATTTAAGTTACAAGTATTACAATATACTATATAATATAATTAATTAACTGAATCAGCGACTTTACTCTATATACTGCTTTCAAAACCAAAAAACTCAAATTTTTGGCTGGATGTGAAACAAGAATACTTGGCATTATCCTCAAAAGCTTTGCAATTTCTAATAATGTTTTTTTCGACATATCTGGGTGAAAATGTATTTACATTTTTCCACTCATTGTACACAAAAAATAAATATAGAAATAAGTTGAACGAAGAAAGTGATTTTAGATTAAAAGTTACCAAAATGGAGCCCAATATTTTCTTTTTGTGCATTAAATACTTACATGTATTTTATCATAGTATTTTAGTTCCAAGTAAAATAAAATTACATACATGGGTTATAAAATAATGTATACATTTTTTATAAGCAAACTAACCGGAAAGAGCAATGGGCGACCCTTGAAAGATGTGAAAACATATATAAGTATGAGCTTAAAAATATAGATTTATTATATAGAATTTGAAGTAAATATTCATAATTTAAAACACGTGCTTTTATATTATTTGTAGAATAGGATTGAAAATATTTAAAAATTATATTTTTTCAAAGAGAGAAAGTTAAAACGTTAAGAACCTTAAGTTCTTGCTAAAGCAACTGCTCTCAACATTATTATTTTATTCAGTCCAGCATTTTACTGCATGTTACATAACAATATTATAAATAATAAGAATTATTGATTATAGGTACAGTAGAACCATGATTATCCGAACCTCCGTTATGCGAACCCTCTATTATCCGAACTATAATTAGCGTATCCGAACATGAAAACTCGCATCCGGCTGGCCGGTTTATCGAATTTACCAAATTATCATCAATCATTAGTCAATCATCAGTATATGACCAAAACGCAACGGGCTTATCTAAACGATGTCTTCGTGTTTAACTTGTCAATTTAGTTCGGTTCTCTACCGCTCTCTATGATTGTCAAGTATCTAAAATGTCTAATAAACGTAAACGTCATGTTTTTACGATAGAACAAAAAATAGAAATTCTTGCTAAACTGGACAAAGATGAGACTAGTGTATCTTTAGCCCGTCTTTATAATATAGGTAAAACAACAATTACAGATATTAAAAACAACCGTCATGCAATCATGGATTTTGCGTCAAAGATAGATAGTGGTGATGGAATAAAAAGAAGAAAAGTTATGAAAGTCGCTTGACAAATCTTGACAAAACAATGGAAATGTGGTTTATACAAAAACGAAGCTTAAATGAACCAATTTCTAAACCATTCATATGTGAAAAAGCTCTCGAGATGAATACGAAACTTAAAGGCCCTGAAGATTCTAAGTCCAGCAGTGGCTAGCTTCATAAATTTAAATCTCGACATGGAATATGTGAGTTACAAATTCAAGGTGAATTATTATCAGCCGATCAAGTAGCGCAAAAAATTTTAAAGAAACATTCCAATTATTTGTGGAAAAAGGAGGATAGAATCTCAAGATTCCGTTTACAATGCCGATAAAAGTGGCTTAAACTGGAAAGCACTACCAAGAAAATCACTTGCTTTTTGCCAAGAACATGCAGCGCGTGGTTTTAAGGTATCCAAAGAAAGAGTAACAATTATGACATGTGCTACTAATACTGCTGGGTCCCATAAATTGCCATTACTACTCATTGGAAAATCAAAGAAACCACGGTGTTTTAAGAACTTCAAAAGTTTACCAGTAACGTATACAGCTCAAAAAAATGCCTAGATGGACTTTAAATTATTTCTTAATTGATTTGAAAATGATTTCATAAGAAATGTAAAAAAAATGGCATCAGGATCATCACAAGACAGGTAAAGTGTTACTCCTACTAGACAATACACTCACTCATCCATCCACCAAAGTATTAAATTTAATTGATCCAGATTATCAAGTCATGTTTTTTCCACCAAACGTAACGTCTTTGATTCAACCATGGATCAGGGAGTATTCGAAAAATTCAAAAGAATATAACGAAAACAAATGTTGTGGAGACTTTTATTAAATGAAGGCACTGAAGAGAGTGTTGATGCATTTTCAAAATTATTGAATTTGAAACACTGTTTTTACATGGCAGCAGATGCCTGTGATAATTTGACTGAGGAAAACTTACGAAATATTTGGAAGAAGTTGTGGATTGCTTCTATGGAGTTAGAAGCCGAAGAAGAAACTGATCTAAATAATCTTGATGATTTTGTTGATTTATTTAATGAAATTTCAGAATTTAATGACTGTAATTATGATGACGCTGTTGATTGGTTAGCAACTGATGTAAATAATCTAGGATATCAAATATTAGATAGCGATGAAATCATTTCTTCGTTGCAAAATGATGAAAATGACGACAGTAGTAAAGAAAGTATAGGTACACCAAAACGATCAACATCTGCTGAAGCATTTGATGCTTTTGAAACTGATCTTGAGTGGTTTGAAAAACAGGCTGAATGTTGTCCAACACAATTACTTCTACTTAAACGTTTGCAAGACTTGGCTGCAGAAAAGCACATTGCAGCTCATCGTTAAATTAAAATTGATAATTTTTTTCAAAAAAATATAATAAATAAAATTTGTAAATGTAATGTATTTCTAATAATGTAATGTATTTCTGATAATGTAATGTATATAATTCTAATTAAATATTAATAATAATAATAAATATTTAATTATAAAAATAATAAATAATTAATACATAATATTATAAAAAAATTTTATTTTATATTTCCAATATCCGAACTTTTGCATATTTGAACTAGGCGCGGGCTCAATTATTTCGGATAATCGAGGTTCTACTGTGCATACAAAAATAGCAATTGTAAATATATTATTAATTTGTATTACCTAATGAACAATACAATTACAATGTATTGCAATTGCCTAAATACTTTTTTAATTTAATTTTTTAAGTTCAAGTCTATTAAACATAACATTTTGGTAAGTATTGTGTTTAAATACAATATTGTATTATTGTAAAAATTAAGAAATGCATTAAAAACGTCAAAAATGCATTAAAATTCAAGCCCTAGACAGGTAAGTCAAAAGGCTATTACAATTATCTATAATCGTGCTGTTACTCTAGTATAGGGTGACAATATTAAGAAAATAAAAAAACAAGACAGCTAGGTTAGGTTAGTCTAACCTAACCTAACCTTCCCTCCCCCAACAAATAAAAATCTCTATAGATACGCGTCAATTTCAAAATATAACGACTTCACGGAAAGGAGTTCTCGGATCGACTGTTAATAGCGTTTACCAAAAACTATTACCGATTAACGACTATAATATAATATAATAACATTAATTATAAATTTATAAGTAATATAATATATAATTTTAGTTCGTAGAACTACATATTATGCCATACAACATGTCTTATGCTTATCGCTAATTTTATAGTTCGTCGGCATCGAGACTTGACGCTCATTTCACGAAAACTGTTATCTGTTATTTTTAACTGATTTCACGTTTTAAATATACGAGGAAAACTGTTTTATATTTTTTTCATATATAGATATTTTATTTACAAGCATTAATACATTATATTATATATAATATGGAAATAACGGGATTAAAACGGAACAATCTTCTAAAAACGAGATAAAAAGCGTCCCATTTGAAGTTTATCGAGACAACGGGACGTGATGATCAAAAAAGGAACAATCCCGTTTTAAACGTGATGTCTGGTCACCCTTTTCTAGTAATCACGGTCGTGATGAACGAAGTAACATGTGATAAAACGTGGCTGATAACATCATGAGATAACAGAAATTTTCAAAAAATACATTATCAGTGCGAATTGGCCTTAGAAGTGCCGAAAAATATTACACATATTGTAATAGTAATAATAATATTACCTATATTTATATCTACGACGAGGAAGCGACCCTGAAATAATTTGATGATATTATGCTCTTTGTAAGTTAGATTCCTTTCGCATCAAAATATATTTCCACTGCCGCGGTATCAGTCGTGCAATGTCCTTGTTCAATAAAGTGCGTAAGAATTTTCTACACATCAAGCAGAATACCGAACTGCTATTCAACAATACCGGGCTGTGCATCAAAATCATATCGTGCATGTTGTCCGTGTGCTATTTCTTTTCGTTCTGGTCTAGAACATCTACGGTGTTCGGTGTGACGCCCGGTTACTTATTCCCGCCGTCGTTTTGGCTCTGGACGCCGTTCACGTTCTGCTTCTTTGAATCGCACTTATGGCAAGTACTATTGGACGTAGCTGTGGTGGCCGTCTGCAGCAAGCTCATCGAACCACTGTGGGGTGAACTGCATGTGCTTATCTTCTTTGCCGTCGTCAATATTGGTGTGGCACTGGCGTGTGCCATCTTCTACTATATCATGTACATGTTCACTTGGAACCCAGAGCTGTTGTTTTCGGTTCATGTACGTGGGCTGGCTGGCTACTTGGCTGGCGTCACCGTAGCTGTTAAGCAGATTATGCCCGACAGCCCTGTATTGGACACGCCAGCGGGTCGCATTACCAATCGCAATGTGCCATTGTTTACTATATTTGTCGCATTAATACTCTGGTTTGTAGGCTTTGTTGATGGCACCAAACCAACTATGGTTGTCAGTGGTGTGTTAACAAGTTGGACATATTTAAGATTCTATCAGAGACACACTAATGGAACTCGAGGAGATATGGCCGATAATTTCACTTTTGCCAGCTAAAATATTTGATTACATACATATTATGTATATATTATATATAATATAACCATTAACCTAATTTTATTTTCTGTTTATTAAGCTTTTTTCCAGTTATTATTCAACCTCCAATCTCAGTACTTTCCAATTCAGTATATAGTGTTTTTGTAAAAGCTGGTATATGCAGGAAAACAGTACGTAGAGTAGATATTGCTAGTGCTCCAACTGGTATAACTGTTGCTCTACCTGGTATCAGATCACAAGACATGGATAGAAGAAAGTATGTAAATTAAGAAATAATCCTATATAGTTTAATCATGAATTAAAATTGACTGAAAAAATATGTATGATTTCTATAAAATGATTTTATTATTATTTAAATTATTAATCAAGATTTAAATAATTATCTATGGAAAATTTTCTATATGGATATAGAATATATTAATATTTGTCTATGATAAATTAATATATTTTTATACAATGCATTAATCGATATAATATTATTATATACTTAGATTTTATAATGACTTTTTACCTTTAATAACTTGTTTTAGGTTGTTAGCGCTGAAAGCTCTTAATAGCCGTTTAATTGATACTACAAATAAAGGTACACCAAGAGTCAATAATGTGGATTCTGAGAGAAGAGATTCAGTAGTTATATCAATTGGAGACTCAGAACAGTCAACACAAGCATCATCTAGTAATATGATGGTTTCAAATAAAACAACGTAATAAAATTAATTTTCAATTAAAATATATAGATACAATATTGTTATTAATTATATACTAAACATGGACTTAGAATATGTAGAAATGTACAACACTGTTTATTTGTACTTTGAAAATATTAATCTAGGCATCCATTATCTAATGTATATAATAATTTGTTGTAAATATGTTGTTTATATTGTAAATAGGTAAACTAGGGTATATTAATTGATTAATTTACTAAATGATTACATATTTTATGTTACATAAACCTATTCCGGGTCTTCATTATAATTATTTTATCTTATGAGTTTTGTATAATTTTATTGATACAAATATATTTAAGCCTGTGATAATAAAATAACTAATTATAATTTTATCTTGTGTTGAAAAAGTTATCTTTCTAGGTTAAAGGTTATTATTTACTAATTCCTACACTAACAGAATTTGTTCATAGGATGTTATTTCTTGAAAGTTCACATAATTGAATGCATGATCATGATTGGACCATCTGAATACTAAAACAAAAAATGGACTATCCAAGTCTTGTCTTAAAATAAGTATAATTAAGAAAAATATTAATAGCAGTAATACACATTTATGACCTATAGTAATTAAATTAAATTTTCCTCAAAATAAAGAGCTAATTTATCCAAAAATGGCTTATAAAGTCCAAGGTTATCATCAGTTCGATAAGTTTTCAGAGATATGTTTAAGCATCAACATACCTTATTTACTTTTTAGTGCATTATAGCTCATGCTAGGTGTTTCATCATGGTGACCGTAAGTGATTATATTTATTTTATACATTTTCAGTTAATAATTTATCCAATTAAATTATTTCTTATATAATTTTTATTTACAGAAAAAAACCTTAGATTTGAGGTACAATGAAATGTGGCAGGCTTGGAATGACACTGCTGGTGAAGATAGCAATTATTCAACGGAATTGTTTAAACCTGATTTGGTACTGTCATGGAAACAGTTGAATGTTACAGTTACAAAGAAGGTTCCTAAATTATTTGGCTTAAGTGAGGTCATTAATAAACAAATTTTAAATAATGGTAAGAACAACAATAGTGGTATATTAATATCTGAAAGAACATAGGAGGCATAAGCTTAAATTAGAGATATCTTAATCCACCTAATGTAAATTAAGTCATCTTTATTTACTAATATTTTTAAGTTATTTCCGTGAATGCAATTTTTAAAAAAAATTATCAAATCCTCACTTATTCAACATTATATTTTAGCTAGATTTTCTTGCGTTTAGGTAAGGCATGAATACCAAATATAATTTTTTTTGATGCAAGCATAAAATTAACCAGTTTTAAATAATCTCACTTATTTAAACAATGTATGTAGTCTTCTTTTAACTATTCTGTGATATTTGTCATAGTATATTTTTTTTAGTAAAATAATAAGTTTGAATATTAAATATTTTAATTGATTTGAGGGGCTTAATTTTACTGAATTTTTTCAGCTGCTACATACTTCTTAAAAATGTTTTTTACTATTCAAATATTTTATTTATATTTACAACAAAAATTGAACGTTTTTGTTTACGTATTTTAAGTCTGTACAGTATAAAATGAATGTATGAATTGATTATAATTTTGTTTTATAGTCAGTGGTAATGTTGAATGTGGTACTCTATTGGGAATCATGGGACCAAGGTTGGTAATTATGTTAAATAATTAAATTTAATGGCTTTTTGTGTTTATTTTATAGTTTATATTTGATACTTTATAATATGTGTGTTTTATTTTGATTACTTTAATTTCAGTGGTTCAGGAAAGACTACATTAATGGCTACAATAAGTCACCGGACAAAAGGTATACATATTATGTATCACATAAAAATCAAAACAAATCAATAACATAAAAATGGGTAACTGTTTTGTATTAATATATTTTTAAAGGGAATTTTGAAGGAGAACTTTTATTGAATGGACGTCCAGTATCTGAAGATATAATGATAAAAATATCTGGGTTTGTTGCTCAAGAAGATATAAGTTTTGACCAGTTAACTGTTCTGGAAGAACTCAAGCTAATGGTGAGAGTAATTTATTTATAGGTACCTTAATTAATATTATAACAAATGTTATATTTGTACAGGCTAGATTAAAAATGGATTCTAGTTCTTCTAAAAAAGTAATCAAAGATCGCATAGATTATCTTGTAGCTCATTTGGGTTTAAATAAAACACTAAATACTAGACTATGTTTTTTATCTGGTGGAGAGCGGAAAAAAGTAGCTCTAGCTGTTCAACTTATAAATGATCCGCCCATTCTATTTTGCGATGAAGTAACTACTGGACTTGACAGTTATGCTGCTGCACATATCATAAACACTTTAAGAAGAGTTGCTCATAGCGGAAAAATTGTTATATGTACCATACATCAACCAGCATCTGGTTTATTCGATCAATTTCAAGAAGTTTTACTTTTAACAAATGGACGATTAGCATATCAAGGACCTGTATCCTTAGTAAATGATGTTTTTAAAAAGTAAAATCTTGAAGCTATTGTATTTTACACAACAAATGATTATTGTTTCAATTTGTATTAGTTATAGCTACATTTGTCCTGCTACATATAATAAAGCTGATTTTATTATATCGATTTTGAACTCGGATAATGTATTAGATAAAAATAATGTAAATAACATGTGTGAAATATCGTCAACCATTAAACAGATGGATATCAAGTACAACTCATTCAATAAGGATGTATGTTGAAAACATTTATTACAATAGTATTTTACTGTACACAATTGAAAAAGAAAAAATATGTTATCTGTTATTTAGGTTCAGTCGGAATACGAACATCATTTACAAACGTAAGTCTATTAACTGGGCTAGTTCAAGATATAAGCAAACCAAGCAGTAGTGCAATAAAATATTATTCCATTCAATGAATTACTTGCAATTAAAATTAAATTTATACTTCAATTTATAACTACATTAATATAAAACAAATTAAATGACTTAAATAATAACAACACCAATTTAAAATTATAGTTATACTATAATTAATGATTTAATAATACGTACTTGAGATATAAAACCTAAAAATCTTTTTTTTAATTATAATATACTGATTATACAACTTCAACAATCATTTTTACATGATTTAAATTGTTTAAAATATTACATAAATACTAGTACCTATTTCATAGATTAGAATAGTATTGATTTTATTACAGGTAACCCCCCAAGCTTACATTTTTACTATGTAAAATTTATTTGGATTAAAGAAAATAAAATAACCAACTAACACTTTCCAGTCGCTTTTAACAAATAGCTCAATGTTCTATCGTTCACATAATACCATATACAGCCCTAAATTTTTATATTTGTATTTTTGTAATCCCTAGCTGTATGTACTGTTCATTTGTTGACTAAATATTGAGTTTAATTTATTATGTATCAGGATGAAGCTTAGTTGGATTCTTCAGGTTCTGCTTTTACTGTACAGATCTACCACATGTTTTGTTAGAAATTACAAGCAACATTTATTGGAGTTTGGAACATTAATGGTGAATTTTAAATTTTTGTGTACAATAAAATTAATTTGTGTAAAGAGATAAAACAATATGTGTTTCTAATAAAGTTTTTAGGTATTATTGTTGCTACACCTTATGCAAACTTACAATTTGATACCAAAGCAGTTCAAAATTGGGAAGGCTTTTGGTTATGCTTGGTTATTAACACGGTTTTTCAATTCAATTATTCTGCTATATCCACTCATCAAATAAAGTTCTCAGTTGTTCATCGAGAAGTTAGCAATAAAGTTTACTCATTAAGTGCATACTATGTATCCGAATTAATTATACTTGTAAGTCAAAATATTGAGTACATCATCTTACATTTTTAAATATATTAAGGATATGTTTGTTTTAATAGATTATTTGGCTGATGGTAAAAATATTGTTTTATTGTATTGTCATATTTTGGATAGTTGGTGTTCAATGGATTTATATGCAATTATTGGTATTTTTTATAATAGCACTTGCTTCATTTTCATATGGTAACTAAATGAATTAAAATAATATTTTCTATTTTTGAATTATTAAATTAATTTTAATCAAAATATTTTCAAAATTGAATGATTCAAGTATTTTTAAATTATATTTTTCTTTTTCATTTCACTGAAAAGCTAATGAATCTTATGAATCTTATGAAATTTTAGTATAACAGAATTGTAATAATGTTATTATTAATATAGGAAGTCTGTTGTCAGCATACTTTAGTTGTGTAGAAGAAGCTATTGTGTTTTCAATAGCATATGAGTACTTAGCACTGCCTCTCAGTGGTGCATATTTATCGTTTAGGTAAATTGAAATTTCATTGTTAGTGCCATTGTAATTTTATTTTATAAATCAAATGATTTTTATATTTATTTTAGATCTTTGCCAAAAGTGCTATTTTCCCTGAGGTACTTATCTTTGTTTTTTCTTGGTTGTGAAACAATATCTACTCTATTTTGGGATAAAATAAAATCATTACGTAAGCATATTTATTAATTTGAAATATATAATTGTTAAATCTATCACATTAATTGAATTTTTTTTTTTTTTTTTTTGTATATTTATAGCATGTACAGATATTGCTAATTGCTTGGACAGCGGAAAAGCAGTTTTATTGAAGTATGGTTTTGTAAGCAATGACATGTATTTTGACTTAATGGCGTTACTTATATTTAGTGTTTTAGCAAATATATTTGGATATATAGGAATACTTAGACGAATGAAAAAACAACCTGCCTATTAGCTTTTATATTTAAATAAATTTAAAATCTTCTTTTGTGTTATTTGGTCTAAAATATATAATAACAAACTGTAATTAAAAAACTTAAGAACTATATTTATTGAAATGTGTTTTTAGTTATAACTTTTGTTATTCACTAATTTTAATTTTTAATATTAAATTAATCCAAATTAAATTAATCAATAAAATTATTGAAAAAATGTGATGAAAATATTACTGAGCATATTGGATAACTAAATAACTAAAAAAAACTCTTGAACTTCAAGTATAGTATACAATATGGAGCAGAAAATGGGGCAGTTATTATATGATAGGCAACACCTAATTATGTATGTAATATAAACTATGTGTTATAGTTGTGATAAATATTTAGTTGTCTACTATATAATATTTACGACTATAGTTACTAGTTATAGTTATTACTATAGTTTAAACGCGCAAAATCTGTAATTCATGTGAACACTGACTAAAAACGCGCGTTTAACGCTCTCCATGTGAACCTAGCCTTACGCTGTGTCCAATGTGAACGCGGCAAAGGTGTTGTGATGCGGGCGACGCGGCAAATAAAATTATCAAACATATAAATATAGATTAGATTGTCCAATGTACGCAATAAACGCGGGTGACGCGAACGAATTAATTCGATCGCGTTCGCCGCACGGTTTGAAAATCAAATTGTTTTGTTTTTGGTCGCGCATTTAAGCGAACAGACGTCAAAATATTTCTATTATAATTTACGATTTATTATTATAAATTATTTTTTTTTAATTTTTATACGACTATTTTATGATACGAATAGGTAAACGGGTAATATATATTATTAAATTATAATATATAGTATTTTAATTATAATAGTATTATATATTTATATATTAAATATTGTTGTATGATCAATATGGAGCTCATTATATCTGAGGTACAAAAAATGAATGTGTTCTTTGGAATAAATGTAATACAAAGTATATTAAATGTTTCACTTCAGCACTTTTCAATAGGTATTAACAATTGTTTTTCAAGACTAAAAGACATTTTTAGTTATTTTTGTTTTTAAAAGAATAGAACATAAACGTGTAAAATATACCGCATAACCTTTGCACAACTCACTTCAAAATATACTGCATATAAAAAAAAGTAAAAAATATCTGAATATGGTTTAGTCACAAATTCGCGTTCACCGCGTACACGTAGGACACAGCGTTAGTGTGTTTCGTTCGGGATTGCTCGTACAACGTCGGTATTTGTCGTGACATTTATACTATGGTAAACGATCGCTGCGCTCTATGTTCCTATCTATACGCGCTGTATAGCAGTTATTGTTTTATAATATATAGTGAATTACTGGTCACTAGGGTTCGGAAGTTGTTGGAATTGTATATTATTCTGCGGTGGCGTAGCCAGGGGGGGGGCTAAGGGGGCTATAGCCTCCCCCATGGGCCGTGTTTATATGTATAATGTATCTTGACTATTTAATAGAATCAATGCTCGTTTTAATCAAAAGCATATTGATGTTTTGCCACTTGAAGGACTTATTCCAGCCAATTTAAATATGTATGACGATAAAAATATTATAAAAGCTGCTAAAATATATGTCCGAGATCTCCATGATGATACCTCATCTACAATCAGAGCTGACCTGTTCATATGGAGGCAACAATGGAGTCAAAATACTATTCCAAAACCGAATTCTGCTCTTGATTCACTCTCTCATCGCACTAATCTTCGACCTAACATTAAAATACTTTTACAATTATTCACCACGTTACCAGTTACCTTTTTCACTCCGGAAAGAACATTTTCAGCACTTAATTGCTAAAAATTTTTTTAAGAAGCACCATGTCGGAAAACAGATTGAATGGGTTAGCTATGGCTAATATAAATAAAAAAGAGCAATTCGATGAAAGTGAAATAATAACTGAATTTGCCGGAAATTCGCCTAAGAGAATCCAGCTGTCAGAATGGAGCAAGTGACTGAACACTGAAACCAAAATTATTATTATTATTATAAATTATATATTAATAAATATTTTTAAAACTATACTAAAATGCTAGAATTACGTTTAGAAACTTGGTGGTAGATGGTGGGAGGGTTAAGGGTGAATTCTCATATCCTCTCTTACCTTACTTATCCAAAAAAAGTGATTAGCCCCGCCCATTTAAAAATCCTGGCTACGCCACTGTTGTTCTGTATGTTAAAAAATTTAAAATCTATAATGCAGTTTTTGTGTATATTATTGATTGTTAACAACATCAAATATGTTTTTTTTTTAATTTCAGAATACATTTTTTGCGTATTTATTAGGTACAGTTTTTTGTATATTCAATGCATATTTTGCAACTTTTTCGTGCATATTTGTATGCATATATTGCCTTATTAGCTCCTAAAACTTCAGAGCTATACAGGTCACATTATTATTTATTTTTATATAGGTAATATTATTATTAAACGGCTGCGGGTCGTGGATGTGTACTATTGACAAACGACATAAAGCAGCGAGAAACCGTAAATATATTATTATAAGTTCATCTTGAATTATATGACTTAAGTAATTGGTTTTAAGATTAATTATTTTTTAAATTCCTCATTACTTTTTGCTAACAATTTACATAATTCTTTAGTTTCCTAAAAATATATTAATTTTTTTATAAATAATTATCATAATTACCTAGATATTTTACATTGATGATCATTTAAGACTCTTAGTAATATTAGTTATAAGTTATTACTTTTTAGTTGTTAGTTTAATACCTTGATTTAAAGAATCTTTTGTCTCGTCGTGTCCACACCAAATCATTAAGGTGTTTAAAAATATTATTATGACAATCTTGATATAATTTGTTAGACATATTAGGCATATTCATTGTAGCCGAAAACTCTTCGAGTTATAAGTATCCTTGTCCTGTATTTACTATAGAAGAAACCATGGTCATATTTACATTAACAATTTGGCCATTGGGATTTTCACTTTTTACAATTTCTTGTGCATCATACATTTTGCAATCAAAATAAAACGAACCAAAAGATCCACTCCTTGTTTCCTTTGAGAATTTTAAGTCACGAAATGTGCAATCAAATCTTAAATGTTTTATTGATTGAATACTTTCAAAAACATATTTCACATCAATTATTCTCCTTCCTTCTAACCTTTTCCAGGAATTAACTGTTTCATTATTTTTGACAGTAGATATATTTAAGTTAGGCATGTTCAGTGAATTATCTATTAAATTATTTGGTGTAATATCACTAGTATCTAGTGTATTTTGTACCTTGAAAATAAAGTATAACCTTTATTATTAAACAATATGTTAATTTAAATGTCGTAAATTTTTATCAAATATTATATTATAAATTTTTCACTCGGCGAAAACATTTGAAAATTGAATATATTTAAATAATTTTAAATCCATGTACTTACTTTTTTTTTTTAATCCTTTCAGTGCATCAATATTTCTTTTTTTTTCCTTTTAGATAATAAGGGTTTGGTTTTTTTCCATAACGCCAATCTTTTTTACTATCCATATTATTCAAACAGATAACAATACAAAAATTATATATAACAGATTTATTTATAATTATTATTAGCATATGGCTCCGACAAGCACAAAATAATAAATAGGTAAATATATAAATTTCAATAGTATAAACTAAAATAATAGTCATAAAAAAAAATTAAAAGACTTAGTACTAATTAAATTATAAAGTTATAAATAGTCAAAATATAACAGTTAAAATTAAGAACTATGTTTGGTTTATGTATGTATTGCAATCGCTTGAACTTAAAAAAAATGTTTAAATTAGATAGATTTTTTGTCATATTTTATCTTATCTAGATAAATAACGCTAAGTTATCTAATTACTTATCTAAGATAAAATTTTTACTTACCTAGATAATTATCTGTATTCTTGCCAAGATTAGAGTTATTTTTATTCATATACAGAGACAACTCCAAGAAATTAGAGATCATCAAAATCGGTCCAGCCGTTCTTGAATTATAAATTCTGTAAATAACGACTTTCTTTTATACATATAGATTTTGTATCCGTAATCATAATTCATGCATTATTAATAAGTAATTATTATTTCTTGGTATGACATTTTTTTTGTATTTTCATGTCAAGAAAATATTTTTGGTATTTTTAAACTTAATTTCTTATTTTTTCATGAAAGTTCCAATTATAGTGGGTATTAGATTTTAGTATACACATGTAACTCATACGCTGAATAGTCATTACTTCACTTTTGGAACCCGTAAAGTCGTAATTACTTATAGAATAATGAAAATCATCAAATTAATATTATATGGAAAACAATATTGTTTACTTAAAATAATTTTTTATGTATTCTGTATTCATACAGAACCTGATATGTTCAGAGCGATTTTCATTTTTTTTTTTTTATGTAATATTTTAGTGATTCATTTCATTTCAATTTTTTTTACCTATTATCTTTATCTAGATATATTTTGCATTATCTATTCCCAACACTGGATATGGACACTAAGTATCGTTATAAAATGATCTACATTAAAAAATTTGAAATGTTTATCTTACATATGATCGATAAATACGGATTCAAGGGGGGAGGGGCGATCGTCCTTTTCGCCAACCCAAAAATACGCCCCTGCACTATACTATTCATCTATTTTACTATAGTATATTGTACTACCGGGGAACTAGGGGCGCAATTTCAATGAAAACACTGGGGGGGCTGAAGCCCTTCTATTTTTTTCATATTCCTTTATAGTTATAGACACCGGCAACCCGTATAATTCAACAGTTACTAAAATATTTGGTAAATATTTAAATATTTCTAAATTTAAATTGTTCACTTTGATTTAATATTTTTATTGCGCATACAACGAATTACCCGTCTGTAAACACAAATGTTTCATCACATGATCACATTTAGATTCTGAGTGAAGCGATTCGGTAAGAATATTATGGTAATATAATGATGTTTGTATTTTATTTTTTTAACACTTTTTTGGATAGAAATATTGGTCCAAAAGTTTTTTCTAGGAATTTTTTAGATTTTAAATTGGCATGTGGTAGTACTTTAGATAGGTAATTTTTTATAATATTTTTAAATTTTAACAGTTTTTCCAGGCGTGAGGAAAAAACTGACCTGAAGCGATAAAAATACGCTATAAATAAGACTTTCACTTTTCAGATTACAGTTATTTAGTCATAATTCCAAAAGTAATGTAGCTAGAAATTTGAAACTCTTACCTTATAGCAAAGATATGTTTTTTCATATTTAATAAAATTTTCAAAAAGCGCATTTGATTTAAATTTAGAACTTAAAAATACCTAATTTTTTGAAAGTCATTATGTAATAAAATTTTTATTTTTGGATATTAAGTGAAAATGTAATATCATTTAACTCATATACAAGTACTTACTTATTTACCGATACTAAAAATTTATTAAAAAAATCGTTAGTCTGAAATTTCATAAGCGTGCTTTTTTACACCTACGATTTTTACGTATTTTACTGTTTTTACATCAATTTTTAACATTAAATGTTTACTAAAAAAATGTATTCCATCCAATCATAATGAAACTTTGAATAATAAATATTTGGTTAAAAAATAAATAATTTTCTTCGTCAGACAGTAAAATGTTAAATAGGTTGATAAAAAAAGAACCTACCGATAATTAGACTAAAAATGGTAAAATATACTTATAAATCGTTGTTTTTTATACTGAACCTTTGCTCAGAACCGTTTTGATAAAGAAATGACTTATTATTTCTTTAAAACTCAATATATTTACTACTAGGCTTGCCACACGTCCCGGTGTCCCGGCCGATCATTCAAATTATCCCAGTTAATAGAAGCTGACAGAAAATAACTTTTAATATACTTATTTTGTTTTCATATCAAAATAAAAAAAGTCATTCGATAGGTTCGATAGGTTTAGGTTTAGGAATTTCAAAATCTGGCATCCTTACCTATTACTATTATCCAGTTCAAGGACCAAAGAGACGAAGGACGAACTTCCACCATCATTATTTAAATAATAAATTTATATATTTATACAATAAAAATTCTGTTTTTCTATACATAATGAGAAATGAGTATTTAAAGGTAAATTAACATGAACAAATTTGAGGGTGCTAATTTCGAAAATTGGGGTGCTAAGCACACCCAAGCCCCTCCAAATTGCGCCTATGCGTGGAACAATGGTGGTTATAGGTAGTTCGCCTTGTTGCCCCCCCCCCTTTGGAGTTTAGTTTTTTTTTAATTTAATATAGTGGTCACCGCTTATAGTGATCACTTTCGTTCGAGAGAACTGTGATCATTATAACCGGAAATCACTATAAGCGGCGACTCGAAAATACATTTTTTTTCACTAATTAAAAGCGTGCTCCTTCCAGCCATAATACAGTATAAAACTACATACTATACAAACAATACACTGAACGACGGACGAAAACAAACTGGGTATAAAGTGTAAAAATATCGGTACTTGTGAGCATAGGCGGTATTACGGAAGGGGCAAGGTAGGCGGCTGCCCCCCTGCGAGTTCTTACTCTCCCTATATATTTCAAATATTGGTTGGTAACGCTTCATATTACATGCTTATTTAGAGTCTGCATGGTTGTAAGTAATAATATTATTATCTACAATCGTGGAAGCCATTCATGTAAATATGCTGAAAAGATTTTTTGCGTCAACATTTGAATATTATAATTTATTTTTATTATTGACAAATCATGAACCAATATTATTACTTTATTATTATCTGTATCACAAACGTTTTGTATGATTTTATACTCTGATTTGAAGTGTGTATTTTATTTAATATTCTTGAGTTTTTTGGATAATATTAATTTTAATAAAAATTATAAACGCAAACCAAAGTAAAAAAATAAAAACTTTATACGACTTTTTCATACAAGAACCATCATAGGCGGTTAGGTTAGGTGTGCCTTGGCACACCCTAATGTAAATTATGCGAATAAAAAAATTGAATAATTACAATTGAGAATATATGTGCATACACATTAATTAAATTTTAGTTTTTTGTAAGTAATATTGCAAGTGTTCAGAATAAATCTGAAATAATAATTACGTGTATATTTTACCAATCGTTATTTTACATCATTAACGAAGCCTTTATTTTTAGAATTTAAATCATAACACGGTCTACACGTACGAGTTTACAGCCTCCCCTTTATATTTTGAAAAAATAATCAAAAAATGACAGGGCACACTCAAATGTATCACTTTGGGTTCGCCTATAAGAACCATCACAGGTAAATTGTTGTATGTTATTATTTTAAAATTGTATAAGATAAAATAATATAAATGTAGATATTTGTAAGTGTATTATTCATTTAGCAAAATAATCTTATTTGAAATAAGTTAAAATAGTTATCAATAAAATACTTTTTTTATAGTATTGCTAGTCTAAAGATTTAGACAAAATAGTGTAAATATTTTACTTAAAATATTTCCTGCCTCCCCTACCAAGAGGGTCTAGTACCGCCTATGCTTGTGAAAACAAAATCGGTTTCAAACATGTATGATTGTACAATATGAAGTGTCGCTTATTACATGGGTTACATTAGATAAGATTAGTTCGATTAAAGTTCACGATTAAGATAATTGTCATTCGTAATCGTTTTTCCTATATACAAAAAGAGGTGATATTATTGTAAATTATACTTATATTTTATATTTCTGATCACAATAACTGAAAATCTGAACACTGTAAACAACAAAAAATGCACTTATAACGACTGTTTGTTTCGTTCCAGGCATTTTTTATCACTATAAGCAGCTGATTCTTATAACCAGTGAACACTATAAGCGGCGACCACTGTATATTGCTGGCCCATCAACACCTATCTGAAAATTTTATAAAATTATTATAAGATAAATTTCATTAGTTAATAAATTTATATCTTTTTTTTAAACATTTCTGTTAAAGTTTGTTAATATTATTAATATATAAACATTATACATTTATACCTATAATCTGTATGTATACTTTAAAATTATATGTATATAATACATATATGTTTAAAATTAGCAATAAGCATTATATTATCATCAGTGTTTACAAATTACCAATAGCTGCTATTTATCACTATTTTAAAATAGCAATATCATTAGTAGATAATTGAGAAAAAATAGCAGTTTACGATTAATAGTAGATATTAAAAGAGTTAAAAAGTATAGGAATAGTGTTTTGAGTTATTTATTTACTTATCTGTAATCATTAATAAGTATAAATATATAATAAAATATAATATCTTCCCAATATATTTTCACTAAAAATGAAATGTTATATAATAAAAGTGCCGACACTGTTTTAATAATACTGATAAATGTTGATAACACATGTACCATTTTCCAAGACTAAACCAAATCTTCACTTCTTCACTAATTGTACATTGTAACTAGTTATAAAATTTGAATTTTTGCGTGTTTTGTTATTATGAAATGTAATTTAGTGGCTAAATGAAAATTTTTTTTTCTATATTTAATAATCATGTTAATATATTTTTTATTTAATTGTTCTTGATTTAATCAGATGCATTATGTTATTAATATCTGTTTACAATTTGAAGTATAATAAATAATTATGATCAAAGCTATTTTGGTGTTCAATAATTATGGAAAGCCTAGGCTTTCCAAATTCTATCAATACTTTGTATGAAAATTTTCAGTATATATATACATAATTATCATAAAATAAAGTAATTTATGTCTGTAAATTTTTTATAGAATGAAGATATGCAACAGCAGATAATTAAGGAAACTTTTCAATTGGTTTCTAAACGGGATGATAATGTGTGCAACTTTCTAGAAGGTGGAAGGTACTTATAAAATTAATACAATATTATTAAGGGTACAGATATTTCATTGAAAATTATGTAAATTATTTTTATAGATCAGATTTCATTGGTATTCTAATTATTGTGTTGTAAAACATTCATTCTTAATTATTTTATCTTTTATGTTTTTAGTCTTATTGGAGGATCAGATTACAAATTGATTTATCGCCATTATGCAACACTATACTTTGTGTTTTGTGTAGATTCATCAGAATCAGAATTGGGTATTCTTGACTTAATACAAGTGTTTGTGGAAACACTTGATAAATGTTTTGAAAATGTTTGTGAGCTTGATCTCATATTCCATGTTGATAAGGTAATTTATTGAGCAACCACTGAATATTTATGATATGTTTGTAGAAATGAAAAAAAAATATTCTTTGGTCATAGAGAATATATTTTTCTTTGTGTTCTATATAATGCAGATTATTTATTTTTAATTTAATTATTTATTTTTAATAAAATAAAAATGAACTATTTTAAATTGTGATGATTATTTTTTTTTTTACATATCTCATTAACTTAATATGCTTTATAATTTAAAATCATATGTTTCTAGATTCATTATATTTTAAATGAATTAGTGATGGGTGGAATGGTTTTAGAAACTAATATGACTGAAATACTTTCAAGGATTGAAGAACAAAACAAATTAGAGAAACAAGAAGTAAATATAGTTATAATTTTAAATATTATCAATACTTAGCTAACTAATAAACATATTCATTCGATAGGCTGGATTAGCTGGTGCACCCTCCAGAGCAGTTTCAGCCATGAAAAACATGAATATACCACAACAGTTGAAAGATATAAAACTTCCAGATCTGCCACAAGCTATTAAAGAATTGAAGTTCTGACATTCGAGGAACAAATTGGTTTGTTCTGAAGCCTATCATAACTATACAAATTGATAATAAAAAAATGAACAAATATCTGTTATATACTGATAAGAAACTAAATTTAAAATGTTAGAGAATGTTCAACCTTTTTTTTTTTTAGTTTTGCTCATTTTTAGAGTTTAATTTTTTCAATGAAACATTGCAGTCAACATTCCATATAAATATTAATAGATTGTATATAAAAATAATTATTAACGGTTTTCAATTTTCATATTAAATTTATTACAATAACATAAAAACTAAACAAATGCATTAGTTTTCTAAACTATATAAATTTGATAGCTATAAATTAATTTTAAAATATAAATCAGCATTCTTAATTTAATTAATATGCTTATATTCAACAAGTATTGAATAACTTATAGTATACATTTTAATAATTGATAATCATGTTGATGATTTTCAATTTTCTACATTTTGTGAAGTTATTTAATAACTGTTTATTACAGGAATATTATCTACCAATTATGTACATTGTATTATTATTATTTATTTTATTTTTTTGTTCTCAAGTTAATGGCTATTGAAAGTTTATTTTGAACGAATATTTTTTTTTTTATATTTATGTATAATGTATATTGAACATAAATCTTTGATTATTGGATTAAAAATAAATATATTGAATTACAGTTTAACACTATCTTATTTATTTGTTATTAGAAAAAACTTAAAATTTTATTTTAGTAAAAAAAAAAAAACTATAAAAATAATTATGTAACATAAATATTATTGCTGGTAATTTCCAAAAAAGGCCAAAAAGATTTGAATATTTATATCATATATTTTAATTTTTTTCACTTTGGATAGTTTTTGTTTTTTATTTTCCACTTTACCAAATTATTAGAAATAAAACAAATCACGTTTTATAAAAACAAAATCTAAGTGACTAAAAAGTACGTAAAAATTTTACTATTTTACTCTAGTGTAAAAATACATATACCAAGTCCAAGTGTAGTGATGACGTGAGGTCAAGTTCAAATGAACAATATTTCATATTTTCATGTTATATTATTATACTTATTATATTTCATTCATACTAAATTATCAATATATGCAAGATACCTTATTATAAATTTTATAATTGTACCGTAGTAATACCTAGAATTGTATAATTAAGATTTATAATCTATCTATCGCAGACCGTGGGATGCGATATAGTTGAAGGAATGGTAGTGGCGAGGAACTCTTCCGTACGCGGCACTTGCAGTACAAGTCACTGTCGCACGCATGAACAATTCAAAACGTGTGTTTCTTTACTAAAACTTTGTATTTTTGGTCCATCCTACCGATTGATCCAATAATGCGATAACATTTTTGAAAACTAATCTGAATTCGTTATGTCTTTTTGAGATCGGTCAATTCACATTTTAAGATTTCTGATTTATATTCCGAATAATCAACGTTTGAAAATGCCAAAATTTCAAAATATTCTAACTAAATTTTTAGTTGTTAGGGAGGTGAAATTGGGGAAAATAGACTGACCAATCTTAAGTAAACATAATTACAAATTCAAATCAGTTTTAAAAAGTATTATCGCATTATTATATCGATCAGTATGATGGAATAAAAATTGGATATTTTGGTTAAAAATAACTATCCGCCACCGATTCCCTCAACAATAAAATCTTAATTTGTTATGATTTTGTAGTCAGTGACGTATATAGGTTTTCATTTCGGAGGGGGTCGATTATGTATTTGATTTTTGTGTTGAAGCGAAGGAGGAAGCACACTATTACGAAAAAAATTACTTTAACACTATAAGACTTCTCGACTATCTTTACACTATCAGAGAAATAAGAAACTCAATTTTTTTAATGATTTATTATTTTTTAAAAGTATTAAAACTACATTGTAATAAACAAATTTTTTATTAGAGTCACTAAAAATTCACCACATATTTTCTCAAAAGAATAAACATATTTTATAAATATAAAATTTTAAATTATCGCATAAGCAACATTCTCAGTGTCGCGACAAATTTTCAGAAATTCCCAGCATTAAGACATATGCATGTTAAAAATAACAATCTTTAACAATGGTGTTTTTCATTTCGAAGGGGGCCCGGACCCCCTCGGCCCCTCATAAATACGCCCCTGAGTCAATAGTATTATTAATGGTACATTAACTGACACCTAATTTCTAGATGGACAAATCTATATTAATTTATTATAACTTATATATGCGAACAGAAGTATAAAGAATAATTATATTAATCAAAAAGAATTATCTGATCAATTCAAACATATTCAATAAACTACTCCTAGGCGCAAATATGAATTAAGTCCTAGAATGGCTACTACATACAACCTAAACTATAGTTATAATTATAAATAAATAGTGATATATTTATTAAGTTGAATTTTTTCGATTTTAAACGAAATAACTTAAAATCAGGGGCGTATCCCCCCCTGAATCCGTATTTAAGGAATCGATTATATGTGAGGTATACATTTCAAATTCTTTTTAATGTTGATCATTTTATAACGAATTCAAATTACGCGTAGCTGTGAATACTGAATTGAGCTTTTTGTCAGGTCTGTCACAGTCGTTATCACAACGACCACGGCGTCTCTATCGACGTCCGCGAGAACGCGATTGAACCGGTCTGGCCGCCGCCGGCGATGCGAACCGTCGACTCAGCCAACGGCAGGTATCTCGCGCATGACCGTTAAATTACACTACTTGAGTGCTAAGCAACGGCTTGCCTGACCACGTTTTTATTATTACTGTAAGCCAGTGCTCGAATTGTGGGGGGGGGTACGCAGGGGTACGCAGCTCCTCTACTATTTTTTTTTTTTTGCGTACCTCAACTATATTTTTTCACCGGAACGGGGAGACGTTCATCCTAATTGATGTCCAAAATAATTTTTATTTGAATTTTAATTTACGTCAATTAGAAAACGAATTTTACGATTTATAATATCAAAACTATTTTTATAATTAAAGATTATATGGTGTTTATGATAAGGACAACGCCGTCATTTATGGAAAAATATAAATAGCAATGTTTATGAATTTGGTGTATTATACTTTATACATTGTATGGTTTGCTATTAATATTGGCGATCGGCGATATCGTCATTTCGGAAAAAAATAAATGCCCGCACAACGACCATAGACTAATCTTCTAAGGCCGTGGCCCGCACTAAAGAGTGAAAATAGATAAAAACAAAAACCAAATATATGATTATATCATTCGATTCATGAGACTGCCTGATCGTCTACAATTATGTTAATTATTATTTTGTTTTTATTTTCTACTGTAACATGTAGGATATTGGTATTGCTATCAAAATGTATTATATATGGAATTTAAATACTTGCTTAGCTAAAAAGTGGTATTCAAAATATATTTACGGTTGGTGGAGGGGGGAGAGGGACGAAGCCTCCCACGGGTCTGTGTCTAATAATTGCGCACGTGAAACGTAGTTTTAAAATCGTTGGACTGAGCTCCTCTACTTAATTTTTCCCAATTCGAGCACTGTTATAAACTAATTATTAAATAAAGACTTCATTATTTAGGCTAACTCCCAATATGCGGTCTACCTCCGTTTTGTGTGCTACGTAACTATAAATATGAGTATAGTATGCAGTCTATCAATGTTAAGTGTTCTACCTATAGCTGGGAATCTCCAGTCATTATTATTTACTTTTACTATTAACTATTACTATTATTAACTATTATTTACTCAAAATCGTTAAAAAAATGTGATGTACTAATGAAGACCTCTTAGCCGAGTTACTTAGCCGAGTATTGGTGGTGAGGATTAAATCAAACTGATAATATTTTTGATGCTTTCCTTAGAGGTATGAAATTATGCTTTGTGGATCCTTAATAAATTTAGTTTTTTTTTTATTTATACTTTTAATAATATTACGGTAAACCACGTCCATTTTGGCAGACCGCATATTGGGAGCCTTTATTTATAATTAAAATCACGTTTCTTCTACATCGCAAGACCTCGATACCTACAGGTCCATAGTAAAAAATATTACCAAAAATTTTACTTGTGAATTTTGAGCCTGAATTAAATAAAACATTTGAGCCCCCCCTAGAAGTAAGTTTCAATACGCCGCTGCTTGAAATTTAATTTAATATAATTTGTGGTTATGCAAGTGTATAACTTAATCATTGGACCTGATCGATCTATAATATAGTTATAGTTAATCATGATTCATGAATATTATGTTACGTAAAACACGTTACCTTTCACCTTTCGTTTTACGCACGATGTAAATAAAATTATCTACATTGTGGTTTTACGCTATATATAATAGGTATTATATTCTGCTGTATTATAGTAATAATTGTGATACTACTATCGACATAGAATACTCTATGCCACGGTCTTAGAAGACAGGCACGGATTCAGGGGGGGGCTATGGGTGCTCGGGCACCCCCCTGTCGCCTTGGCCACCAACAAAATAAATTTATATTATAAATTATGTTATTTCTTATTTTTCAAAATAATAATAATAATAATAAATAATATCGGTTATTCCGTTATCGGAATTTAAATAATTTAATATCAGATATCAAAAATAGATTTTTAAGTCACGGACACGAAACGATTATGTATTTACAATATTTAATACCATTTTTCCTACTTGAAGATACTGTCGCGTATTGCGTAGTCACATAATATAAAAACACACATTATAAGAGGTTCTCATGAACATCGAAACTGGGCGTGTGAATAAGTTAAATCGTTCACATGGTTATCTGTTTAAATAAGAATATGAATATTAGAGTCACAGATACGTGGGTGGTTGACCACATCCTGTATCCCTGCATCAGTAATTATGTAATACACACACATGCAAAATCAATAAGAAATTATCATATTTTATAATCATTAACGCACACACACACTCACAATTTATAGGAATTATCTTATTTTATTATCTTATTCATTTACACACACACACTTGGGATTTTACACACACACATACAATATCACATATAAAAGGGACCCGAAAACAAGGGCAAATGAGACGAGTCTTGTCTATGCTGCACTGAGCACCTTCACGTCAGTGTATGTTATGGTCTGGACTTAGAAATATTTCCAATTATTTTATAAGTACAATTGTTAGGACTTAAATAATTTCTATCACTAGAATATTTACAAAATTTGTAGTTAGAATAATTTTTATAAGTTAAATAAATTTAATTATTTTAAAAAGAAGTCTTAATTATTCCTGACTACACTTCCACACAAGCGTTGACTGAGACGTTGTAACTGAATTAACGGATCAAACGGTTGGCACGTAACAATACAGATATCGAAAAAATTATTAAATCGGCCAAATTTTATATCGATGATCTAATTGGCTCGATAGAAGAGGTTAGAGGTGAAGTTACTTTGTGGAAACAATTTTGGAAATCCCAATTAGATAAACCTAAAACTGCTATAGAAGCTTTGACTCATGCATCTGAATTTTATCCTAATATAAAGGAATTGCTAAAAATTATTTGCGTTATACCAGTTACCACTTGCACCGCAGAAAGAATATTTTCCTCACTTCGACAAACAAAAACATATTTAAGATCAACAATAGGAGAGGATAGATTAAATGGACTTATGCTTCTTAATATTCATAGGGATATTAAAATTACTCCAGAGGAAGTTATTGAAGAATTCAATGAAAAACAGCCAAGAAAATTACAGTTACAATATATGTAAGAAATTATTGTTATTTTTAAGTTTATATTTAATAAATACTGATGTATGAAAAAAAAGTTAGCACCAATAAATCAAATAGAAAATATTAATTTAAATAAATAGAAAGGTGTAACAATCTTTTTTTTTTTGAGCACCCCCTGTCAAAATTTTCTGGATCCGCGCCTGTTTGAAGACTATCTTCTAAGACCGTGTTCTATGCTATCGAGCCAGTTGGGAATTGGCTGATTTTCTTATCAATGTTTGATTTGTGTCATTCGTTGGCAACATATAGTGATAATAACATGAGCAACTTAATAACAATCCACCTGTTCAGGCTTTACTCTATACTCTTCAGTCTTGTTCACACAGAGATATCCCCTATTATTGATGTGTACGATTAAATCTTGTATTTGAATGTAATCCTCATGCGTATAAGCTCCTTCCATTGATTTTTGTAAAATTGAATAAACTGCTCTGTGCTAATTAGTTCCGATCGACTACTGTACCCAATATGAATTCTTCGGCAACTGTAAGTAAATAATTCGTATTAATTTAGTACCGTCTTAAAAATTGTCAATACATTATATTTATACTTTTATATTTTCAATTTCCCCACAGAGTTATAGTAACATGTCAAGTGGGACAAACGTAGCGTATGATAAGAATGGTTTGTCATCATCGTCCACTACTGGTGATGGTGATTATACAAGCGATCCAGCATCCGGAGGATTGTCATCATTTTTTGTATCAGACTATAAAAAGTAAAATTTTGTTATGAACTCGGGTTCTACCCGATAACTTTTTTTTAAATTTTTAAGTAATATTAAATAATAAAGTTTCATCAAAGTATAATATATTAAACTAAATTTTAGTGATATTTTTAATTGTTTTTTTTAAAATATATATTTATAATTACATAAATGTTGTGTCTAATTTTTGTCAAGTTTATTTTAATATTATTAGTGAACTTTAAATCTTTATTAATCAAATTAATGTAGAAATCAAGGATTTAATTAAAAATATTTTTGACTAGGCATGATGATTTGAAACAAATGTTAGATTCTGCAAAAGATGGACCAAAATTAGAAGCTATGAAACGAATTATTGGCGTAAGATAACTACTAAAACATGATTAAACCATTATAAATTTTAAAAATAATTATGTTTTTAGATGATTGCCAAAGGTAGAGATGCATCAGAACTTTTTCCAGCTGTTGTGAAAAATGTTGTATCTAAAAATATAGAAGTGAAAAAACTAGTATATGTATATCTAGTCCGGTATGCTGAACAGCAGCAAGATTTAGCACTTTTATCCATATCTACATTCCAAAGAGCCTTAAAAGTAATCTGAAATATTATCATATTTAAGAATTTTAATTTTTAGAAATGAGTAAATTTTTTAAATTTTTATTGGATTTCTGGATATGTAATAGTTCATGTGTTAATGTGATTTTTTTTTTTTTTTAATAGAAAATAGAAAAATTAACAATTTGTAAACAGTCATACAATTAGACTTTTTGACATGAATGAAGGAGGCATCTTATATACTACTTAAAAAATTTTTTTTATTTATTTTTTTTTCTAGCTGAATAATTCTTGAGACTAGTTGCGTTTAAAACAATAAGAGAAAGTATTAGGAATGCTAGCAGAGGATAGGTTTGATATTAATAGGTTATGGTGACTGTGAGTTGATGCATAAATGTTTAAATAATATTTATATGGACAAGAGTTGGTATAGTACAGATGTTGAGGTCTTTGTGTAAAGTAAGGTTGCTGACGTACCATGGAGCTTTTGTTATATACCTTAAATTAATTGATTGAAAAAATAGAAATATATTTAGGTTTGATATTTTAGCAGCATCTCATAGGTATATTCTATAAGTCATAGGCGACCAAATAATTTGTTTGTATATGATTATTTTATTTTTGAGTGAAATGTTTGATCTAAGGAGTGTCTAAATTTGTATAGCTTGAGGATTTGTGATTTCATTTATGAATTAATGCTATTTTTTTTTAATTATGAAAATAGTATCAAAATATATAATGAAGGTTACATATGTGTAGAGCACGGATTTCTATGCAATTGCATATTTTTTTCCTTTCAATATTTTTGGATTTTTGTCAGTTATCTCTACGAATCATCATAATTTGAAGCTTATGGTGAAATTTTTTTTTTGCATATTTCTGCAAATTTAGAGGTTATTGAATATATTTGCATATTTTGGCAAAATTCAAAATTTATTGCATATTGAAATGAAAATTTAAAAAAAATGTATTAAATAATATTTTGTCAAGTAGAAAAATTAAAAATAAATTTCATAGTCACTAAATAATAATTTATATATATATATATATTTAGTTATAAAATAAATAATCGATTACGACGTAAACTTAATCACTCTTGCTGTGTTAGTCGATTATCGACATACCACTTGCTTCAAATATGCCCCAATAACTTCGGTTGACTTCGAGGGTTCGTTTTTAGTCTTTAAAAATATGTTAACCGATAAACGACACAACTTCACAGAAGATAAACTTGAAATACATATGATTATTTATTTTAATAATAAATTAAGTTCAGAAAATTCCTTAAATTTTTTTGTATTAAGTATTTAAGTAATTAATTTTTATAAATTGAATTATAAATTTCAAATAAATAAAAAATTCTTGCATAATTTTGACTGCATATTTTTTGTATATTTTCATGATTTTTACTGCATATTATATGGCATATTTCGATACTTTTAAGTGCATACAAATCCGCGCTCTACATATGAGTATATGAATAATAATTATGTTAGGAAGCACTGAGGATAATGTAGATAATATTTAAACCTGCATTTTAGGGTGGAGGTCTTAATTTTTAAACAAACAATTTAGTGGTCCTGAATCAAATAAGACATATAGTAAACTTTAATAGATAATTCATTTTTATCTGTTTTTATTTTTAATTTATTTATGAATAAAAAAATTAAATAACGCATGCTAATTCTGTTTATCACTTAGTTTGATGAGTGATATATAGGTACAGTGCCGTGTTAAGTTGTAATGCCGATGGAGGCACACATATTTTGTCGCCTCATCATTGATATGTATATATGATATTAAGGAGAACTATAAACTATTTATAGTTAATAGGGTTGATACATATTATTATTATTCATATTTTGTATTTACTACAACTATACAGGCGTACAGCAATATCCTCATCTGTCTAGTCTCGACTATATTTACACATTAATGCATGTTAATATTGTAATCATTTGAATAAAATATATGTATAGCCATATAGGTATAAGTAAATAAGATTTATTATAATTAAAAATATTTTTCATTTAATACTTCAGTCTTTTAACATTAAATATTATAATATACCAATTTAATAACTGATGGAAAAATTGATTTATTACAAAAAACTAAAAAAAATTTTGAAAAATTAGTATACAAATGCCGCCTATGAAATATTTTCAAATTTTGTCGCCGGGGGCAAATGCTCTATCTGCCTCACGTTAAACATGCCTCTGTATAGGTATATTTACACTCATGCACTTTCTACTTCAATTTTGAATTCTACTTGTGTTTCAACATTCATTTTCACCTTCATCTAACACATGTCTTTATTGAATGTAATAGATGTATGCTTTTTTTCTATTCTCGCTTACGACGTCACAAATCAGTCATCTTCCAGGTTGTTAACAAACACTTGTTAGATTCACATGCACTTCTTGGTATTAGTGCGGCCTACTTAACTATTGCAAATGCAAATAAAAAACGTAGGAAGAAGCGTTCTTTGTGGGTCAAAAATTATTTAAAAACTCTAAATTTTGGAATTATAGATGATTTGTAATTCTATTAGATGTTTTATTTAAATATTTTACACGAATATTCAAAACAAATTTTTACTCAATATTAAATGTAATTGAACCAGAAATAGTAAAACAAAACAATCGTTTTAGAGAGGCTGTTCCAGCTAAAATTAAGTTGTTAATAACGATTTTATATTTAGCTACCGTAGTGAAATGCAATATAATAAGCACAGCGTGTTAAACGGATTCCCATCGAGCGCGGAACACATTGTATTGTAGCGTGCGTCACGAAAATGTAGGTGTTCAATTTGAAAGGGCATACGCTATCGCAAGCTTTTTTTGTTCAACTCGTAATGCGTTAAGATTCATGCGTCAAACGAATGAAAAAGCATACGAGTGTAAACATACCATATTAAAAATACTAGCACAAGCAGTGCCACCGTGGTAGTTCTGTGTTGACTAAAAATATATATCTCATAAGAAACTAATTCTTCCCAAAAATTTCGGAGGAGAGTTATCCCTCACCTTTAGTACACCATTGACTAAGGATACAATTAATGGTTAAAGAAATTATCAAAGTAAAACAGTTAAAAAGGAAGTTTAAGATCGGAAAAGAATAGACCAGAAATTATTATTTAGGAAGGAGTTAAATGTGAGAATAAGAATAGACAAACAAATAAAATGTATGTCAAGTAAGACACAATTAACCGTATAAGGATGAAAAATTAATTATTCTTCAACTATAGTATAGAAAGGTAAAAAAGTTATGGTTTGTTGGTGTATACAGTTTTATGGTTTTATACCCTAAAACAACAGTTCCTTAAGTTGTGCACTTCAGTCACCTTTGGGAAATATGAACCCATTTAAAGGAGCACCATGGTCCATGTAAAAATAAAACTAGTGTTTGAATTTTGCAAATTATTGTGGAATTCACTGTAAGGCAATGTGACTAAAATTGGTCCATAAAAAAACATTACCACGTAAAAAGGTTGAAACCGCTGCTCTATAGGAAACAATTTGCTGTTTATATTTTTGTCTTGCTAATACAAATATTTGTGTCATAACTCTAGATTATATAGTATAATTTAAAATAATTTTTATAAGTAGAAGAATATAAATTCAAATAGTAATTATTCATTAGTATCAATATTTATTTGTGTATTATATTATGTATAAATTAGTGTATTTGTCTTTTTAGGATCCAAATCAATTAATACGAGCATCTGCTTTAAGAGTTTTGTCTAGTATAAGAGTTGTCATGATTGTTCCAATAGTTATGTTGGCCATTAAAGATTCAGCTGCTGACATGTCTCCGTATGTTCGTAAGACTGCTGCGCATGCTATTCCCAAATTATACAGGTTAGTAATTATAGTTTATTTATTAAAACTATGGACTATTTATTATAAACGATAGATTTTATTTTATAGCTATTACTTTATATATATATGTGTGTGTGTATGTGTGTAAATATATTTATTTTTTTAGTTTGGATCCTGATCAAAAAGAAGAGCTTATTACAGTAATAGAAAAGTTATTAGCTGATAAATCTACACTTGTAGTTGGATCGACTGTTATGGCATTTGAAGAGGTGCTTTATAATGTTTTAACATATATTTTATGAAAAACAATAATCATTCTAAAATATTAATACTAAAATTTTAAAATTCTATGTGCATATGATTAATTTGTTTATAATTAATTAAGTTTGAAATTACAATTTTAATAGAAATATTTGTATAGGTTTGTCCTGAAAGGATTGATCTTATACACAAAATTTACAGAAAACTGTGTAACCTGTTGGTTGATATAGATGAATGGGGACAAGTGATTATTGTGAACATGTTGACTAGATATGGCCGTACTCAATTTGTCAACCCCAATAAAAATGTAAAAAAAAATATAAATATTAATTAAACAAAAAAAAAATTTATTGTTAATTATTTATAGGATTCCAATGATTGTACAAAAATTGAAAATGCAAACTTTGATAATTCTGACTTATCTAGTTGTGAAGAAGCTGGTACTGAAGATGATAAATCAACTGTATTGGATCAAGATCATCGCCTTTTGCTCAGAAATGCTAAGCCTTTATTTCAAAGCAGAAATGCTGCTGTAATTTATTATTATAAATTTAACTAAAAAAAAACATTGAGCAATATTTTTTAAATTTTATCCTAGTTATTTATTGGGTAAAATCATCTATTATATATATTTTTTTTTACAGCTTAATTCTTTTAATTTTAAATCAATCAAAATAAAAAGTTATAGTCAAAAAACCAAGTAGCATATTCTTAAAAAAAAAAAAAAACTTAGTAATTTATTTTCTGTACAATTTATAAAAAGTAACCATGAATCTTTTAAAACAATTTTTGTAATTATTATTATTATTTCTTTACTATAATTAAAATAAGTATATTCCAGTGTTGTGAACCTTATTCCTATGGAATCAAACTGACATTAGTCACCATTATTGGTAACTTTAAACTCTTTTACTTGTAGTAAAGAGCTTTTGGTTTTTTATTTAAAAAGAACTTAAGTATTATATTGTAAAAAGTATGAAAATCAATCTGATTATTTGTTATAATTGTGGATTTCTTATTAGGTTGTGATGAGTGTAGCGCAATTATATCATCATTTGGCACCAAAATCAGAAGTCAATATAATTTCTAAAGCACTTATTCGTTTACTTAGAAGTCATAGAGAAGTCCAATCAGTTGTACTCAATTCTATTGCATCTATTTCAATAGCCCGGAAAGTATGTTATTACCTCATGACTTATAATTTTATTTTATTATTGTTATACATATTTCAGAGCATGTTTGAACCGTATTTAAAAAGTTTTTTTGTCAGATCAAATGACCCTACACACATAAAATTGTTAAAACTTGATATTATGACAAATTTGGCAAATGAAACTAGTATTTCAACAATACTTCGTGAAGTTCAAACATATATTTCGAGTACAGACAAACAATTTGTTGCTGCTGCTATTCAAGCTATTGGAAGGTAAATTGTTTATTTTTACAAGTACCAAAATATAGTACATAACACATTTATTTAATGTATTTCTGTAATTGGCATCTACTTACTCAAAAAATATCTAAAATAAATGTTATACTTATAAAGATACTTGATATTAAATTGTCATTAATTATTATAGTTTATTTATCATGTGATATAAGTATTACAATTAAGAAAATATTCATAGGATCTGATAAAATCAGTTGTAGATATTTAATGGTAATTATATTTGTCTTATTTTTTTGTGAAATTGGTAGACCTACTTATTTTGTAATTAAGAAAAAAATATATTTTATTTAAAATCATAATTAATGAAAACTCAAATTGATTTGATATTAAGTATTAAGCTCTCTAACTAATAGTGTAATTTTATAATTTTAAATAGTTTTCATTATTATAATATTTTAAGAGCAATTATATGAATGTGTTAGTAGAGTCCTTAGTGAGTTTGAAAAGAAAATACTATCGGCGGTACCTTTTTTAATGCTCATATTTGTACATAATTATCAAACATTATTATGTTCTTTACATGACTAAAAAAAAATTTAATATTTTATTACATTTAAAATGAAAATCTGACATAGTTTAGTTATATTTTAAATATATATTTAAGATTTTAGGCTGAAGGAAACTTTCGTTTTATAACAAAGTAGTTTTTGAAAAACATTTTTCAACCATTTAAATTATTTATTTTTAATTATCTTGTAGTTTGAATTAACATTTTATAAACTGTAAACATTGGAACCTCATCTGTATTAAAATGTAGACTACTTTTGTGAAAGAATGTTCTGAAGATTTTTGGGATACAATGATTTAAATTATATATTTATTGTAATAAGAGTTTATTAATTTCACCAAAGTGAGTAACTAATCCTTTGTTTCTTTATATTTATTATTTTACTTAAAGTTTCCACGTTTCTCTCAAAATAAAGCATTCAAGAAAATCGCCATTTAATGATAAAATTAATTTCGTATTTAATACAAGACTATAATCGGAAATAAAATATTTTATTGAAAAATAGTGATGACAATGTCATTGTTTCCAGTTGATTTATGAAAGGTTAAAATTATTAATAATAAATAAATAGGTCAAGGAAAATTCAAGATCGTCAAAATAAAAATATCTATACAAATAACAAATAGATAAAATAAGTTAAACTTGTTAAATTGCATAAAAATATACTAGATATTAAAATGATTAAAATGTATGGATTTTTTAATTTTTTACTTATTAATTTATTGCAGTTGTAATGTTACAACGACATGTTTTTATTTGTTATTCTCATGTGACTTACAGCCAGATCATGTTTTAATTTTATTTTAGTTGCAAATAACCTAATTTACTCAAGTTTAATTGCAATATCTTTTACATATAAAAATAAACAGTAAACGTGACCAAAAATTCACGTATAATTTATTTTTCTTCACCAAATAAAATATTTAGTACCTACGATTTTACGTAAGATACATTTTCCCACGTACCTACTCTATATTATCTATATATTTTATAGTCATATTGATAACGTAAATTTTGTTTTTTACGGTGATAATCATTGAAAATTTAATAAGACTCACTATGGTTTTGGTAAAATTAAAACAATTAAAAAATATTCATTAATAATTAACAAACTATAGCCGTCTTTGAAGTGGTATAGTAGTAATTATTACAGTTGATTTTATTACTTTTTTTGCGGAATTGATTTTATTTTTTCCGCGTATGTCACTCATTCTATAATTTCTTTCGGTACCTTGAAAGCGGTGACGGTGAACGATAGTGTTCATATATTTTTCTCGCTATATATATATTTAGGAGGTATATTGTTTTACCATTGTGATGGCTATTAACGACAAGAAAACACTCTTTAGATCTTTATACGCTCGATTGGTCGTTTTTCCGATTCCATTTCGTGATGCATTACTTCCGATCCGAAAATACTACACTCATCTTACAACTCGCGTTCAATTTCACTATTTGAATGTGAAATTATTACTGATTTATTTAATTTGCATTCAATTTTATTGAGTTCCTATTGAGTTTTTGCAGAATATATTTTCTTGTTGCTATATCTGGTCATAAAGATTAAATGGCCAATGACCTAATACTTAATAATAAGATATATTTATAATATTCTCTATTTAAGCTGCAATCAATTTACATTCTCTTAAACTTCATATTTCTAGAATTTATTCATTTAGAAAACCCGAACATTTGAGTTCAATTTTAAATTATTAATAGCTGTGCTCTTATGCTTACCCTTGAACATCTTATCTATATTTTTACAAGTATTTACAAAGTAATGATTTACATATTATAATTTTTTACTGTTAAGATAAAAAAATTTTAGTCATAATTATATTTTAAAAATATATTTACTTTATTTTTTTGAATTGAATATTGAAAATAAAATATGAACGTTGTTTTTGGTATATGCTTATTGAATGCGTACCTATACAATTTTTCAACGAATACATTTACTTTCAGATGTGCTTCAAACATTAAAGAAGTCACTGAAACGTGTCTCAGTGGGTTGGTTTCCATGTTATCGAGTCGTGATGGTAATTTAATATATTTTTTTCTAATTGGCTGAATTAATTATGTGAAATATTGGTGGATTTTTAAATTTAGAAGCGGTAGTAGCCGAAAGCGTGGTCGTCATTAAGAAATTATTGCAAAATCAACCTGAAGCCCACTGCGATATAATAAGACACATGGCTCGTCTTATGGACTCCATAGCCGTACCTCAAGCTAGAGCATCTATATTGTGGTTGCTTGGAGAATACTCGCAATTGGTATCAACTATAGCGCCCGACGTACTCCGAAAAGTCGCCAAAACATATGTCACTGAGGTAAAGTAAAATTCGTAAATGTAAATAAAGATTACTTAGTATATTGACTATAAGTATATAGACTATAGTATGTATATATATTGATGTATAAAATATAAATTAAATATATTAATATTAAATTTAAATTTATCGTGTAGGAAGATATTGTTAAATTGCAAATAATGAATCTTGCTGTTAAGTTGTTTTTGACCAATCCTGCACAGACAACTCTATTGTGCCAGTACGTATTAAAACAAGCTAAATACGATCAAAACTATGATATTCGTGATCGTTCGCGGTTCTTGAACAACATATTATTTCCTAATGAGCAATTTAAAAACAGTGTGTTGGGCAAAAACGCCAAGAACATATTTTTGGCAGAAAAACCAGCTCCGTTACTACAGTCTAATTTCGTTGGTAATTACTTAATTGTATTTTTTTAAATGATTCATTGATGTACGTATTTATAGAAATTAGTAACAATAACATAATTCATAAGTTATAGTTTTTACAATGATTGTCAATGTTAATTTTCTCTGTTTTTGGATTTTTCTAATTCTTAGATCGCGAAGAATATCAAATGGGTTCGTTATCTCATTACATTAACTGTCGTGCAATTGGATATCAAGATCTTCCTCAATTTCCTGAATCGCCAACGGACTCGGGCGTAAGATGTGTAGCCGTTTTGGAAGAACCGGAAGAAAAGATCGCAAAACAGAAAACAGAGAAAACGATAACTAACAAGAAGAAAACATTTTATTCTGATTCGGATGAATCAAATGACGATTCTGACGATGATTCAAACGATGACGATTCTACGGACTCTTCGTCGGATCCGAGCTACGAAAAAATCGATTCACATGTAAGCCGACTATTTGAAATAGCCAGAGAAAACTCAAATACTTTTAATTTTAAAATATTTTTAGCAAAAAGAAAAATTTGAAAGTCTTGTCGATTCCAACGGGGAATCTAGTTCTGAGAGCGAATCTGTTGAGAGTGATAGCAGCGAAGAAATTATTGTCGTGAACAAAAAAGAAATAAAAACATCAGAACTGGCTAAAAGCAATGTAGACTTACTGTTAGAACTTGACGATTGTAAGTGTTTGAAATTATCACCATTTTTTAGCATCTTTATTCAGTTATAAGTTTCAAAATAACGATCGCGGCATGGTATCTTTAGCTTTATTTAAATTGATTGTTTTTCAAATTAGTAGAAAAAAAAATGTCCTCTTATGAATATTTCAATTATAGTTGCTCCGGTCGGACAATCATTGTTGCCATCATATGGAGATATTCTTTCGCCAACTACTAATGACCAATCTTCGCCGTTGTCGTTTTCTAGTAAACCAGTTAATTTACAATATTCTAGAAAGGTGCGTTAGATATTATTTTGAAATTGTTGTTTGCAGTACATAAAAACAGTTAAAAATAAATAAATAAATATAATAAAAAATATAAATATATAATAATATTAAATATAATAAATGTATGACTAACGAGATCCTATCATCATATGTTTATATAGATTGTCGCTCCCAGTTTTGTACCGTCGGCCAAAACTGAAATACTGAACAAAATAAAAGGACACAACGAACTGAGCATATTAGCGCGTTTTACGAGAAGTCCTCATGTAGTTTCACCTAAGATGGTCAGCGTGGAGTTAAGCCTGACTAATCACGATAAAAAAGAAACACTTTCCAACATCCGTTGGACTCAAAAGGTAATCACCGACTCCATGAATAATATTTATGTATAACATATTTTTTAATACAATTTATAAGAAGAAAATGCGTGAAAATATTAATAAATAAAATAAAATATATATGATTTGCCATATTGATCATACATATTATCTACATTCGATCATAGTTGTACAATATGTGACATAGGTATATTGGTGTTTTTATTGACCTTAGATATATTCATATCAACTTCGATAACTGTTATAATTTATGATCACAGTGGATAGTTGTTTAAATCAAATATCTTTACATTTTTCTTTGCAAACTATGTGTATCCTATCCCCTATCTGACTCCTACTCCTTCCCTTATTAATACCATTGCTCATATGAAATTTGAGTCATAGAATTACGCTGGTGACGTTATAAAAGTGTATATAAAGTCAAAGTTATCATCTTTGAAATTGAAATTGAAGATAAAATCAAGTTGATTTGACATAATGAATTTGTTTCGAAAGATAATTTTCTGATTGTGATCACGTGATTTTTCATTCTTTATATTTGATATAAATTGTATTTCATGTGGTAATGTTGTGCAGAGTTTGGATATGAGTATTCACAATTCGGCCCCTGTTGCACAACTGTTACCGGGTTCGGTCACTTTAGGAGCTCTAGGAGTCGACTTCAAAGATTCTATTCAGCCTCTTGCGTTGGAAGTCTCATGGGTTTCTTCCGGAATGGAACGTAAAAGCGAAGTCTCGCTACGCGTACCAATCGGCGAACTGGTTCAACCGTTGTCTATGAGCGAGGAAGATTTTGAGAACGAACAAGGTAAAAAATATTGTATTGATTTATACTCTTCTAAACAAATCTTTTGTTTGTTAAAGTAGTTTAATATTTCCGTAGAATTAATTATTTTTTTAACATTCATTCGTATGATTAACGTTTAGTCATCAAGAGACGATTTTTTTTAACTGTTAAAAATATCTAAATAATTTTAATTTAGATAACATAAAAAAAAATTGCGATCACTATATATATATGTCCGTCCAAATCCATAATTTCATATCGTTTTATCAAGTATTAAAATAAAAATAAAAATAAAACTTTTATTTTTAGTTAAACTAAAAGGGATGAATGAACACACAGCCAATATCGCCTTGAAAAATGCTAACCTAGATATAACGAAAGTCATATTTGAAATTGCTAATGTTACACGTGTTATTACCGAAAAAGAAAATATATTCAGGTACATTATTATTATTATTTATTAAATACATATAGAGTTGTCTAAAGTTAATATAAAAAAGAATAATAAATAATAACTGCCTCAACGCAAATAATGCTAATAATAATAATACTGATTTATTAAAGTAATATATAATATATTTCTTGCTTATTTTATGAATTCTTAAAATAATGTTTCATTCCAGTGGATAGTTTAAATTATAATAATTTATGTTTGTGTTTCAGGTTCAGTGGTCAAACATTGTCATCTAATTGTCTTGTGTTACTTACTATTACCAAACAAGAATCTTTAGCAACGGTATGTGTTAATTGTGAGAAAATAGTTGTTGGTTCAGTGTTTTTAAATGAAATCAAAGGGCTTTTGTCCCAGTGAATATCAAATTATTTGGTTATTAAAATTATTTCAGTCAAATTTGTTATTTGTGATTTTATATGATCAAGAATTAGAATTATCAAAGTTTTTAATTTTTTGTATTTTCTCAAATTATAATTCTTTAAATTAATAAATTGTGCATTAGGTAGATAAATTATTTATTATTTTTTGTTATAAACATTTTTTTATTGATATATTAATAAAATAAATACTGAAAATCTTTATTTGGTAGGTATGTAAACAAAAGCTTAAACAAATTAAAATTTATATTTGTGTATGTAATATGTATATTATATAAGAATTAAAAATTTGTTATGAGAAAATTATAAATTAATTCATAATATTGTATTTTAATAATTTAATATATTCATGAATTATATCATTTATAGAAGTCCATTATTCAATATATACAATTTAAAATATTAAAGATTATTATTTAGATGAATTATCTATACATTTTCCATTATCATACTTATTGTACTCTATAAAAGTTTGAAGCATATATTTTATAGTTCATAAATATGTGTATCCTAAGTATATTTCATTGATACTATCGTACATATTGTACGTGGCCACCAATGCCAATACTAGATATTAACAAATTCATTACTCCAATCTGGATTAATCTAAGAATCGCCTCGGTATAAGTAAGTCAGTTATTCAAGTATATTTAAAATTTAAAAAATTAAGCATACATTAATCCATTCATTCAATTAATTTCTTTGTAGTACTACTTTTATTTTTATCTTTATTTATAATTGTTATTTAATTATAAGTATTATCTATTTAATAAAATCTATAGGGTAGAATATAAAAGAAACATGTCTAGCTAAAAAATATATTTTAAAATTATTTTGTTTACTTTGTTAACATTCACGTTAATTATAGTATTTAATTATTTCCCATTTTCTGTCATTGCTTCATAAAACGATTATATCCTTACAAAAATAGTTCTATTTTGTGATCATCGAGAAAGCTATTTTAAATCTAAATATAATGCTATTATTAGATTATATTTTAAATAAATTGTATTAATAAATCAATTTTAAATAATCTATAGGTGTCACTACTAATTATTTGCACAGGTGACTTGTTAAATATGAATGAACTCATAAAAAGACAATAAGAATTTCATTTAATTAGTAAAATAATGACTAATAAGTTACAGTGATTCTATTACACCAAAGTTTTACAAAAATAATGGTATTTTTGAACGTAAATAGTTTGTACACCAAATAATGTGTTAAAGAAATTCGACATCCCAAACATAATAAATTTATACATAATCAAACTAATAAAAGTTTCGTGGTGATCAAATTTAAATTATTTTTTTAGACTAATAATATTGATCACATTAATAATCAAGGTTTAGAAATTCTTAAGGAGTTTTAAGGTAATTCAAAAAAAAATAAAATGATATCAGCTGCGTTACAGGTTTATTGTACTATAATTTTTAGGTGAATTCTACCTACGATAACGATCGTCAGAATAGAAAATATATAGTGATCTAACGCTTTAAAGTAATTAAACATGTATTTAACATATGCATATACTATTATTGCAAAATATTCATTATAATCTATCGACATTCAGAGTTGCGTTGATCGAGTTTGAGAACCGATGTGCATTTTCTAGCAATTAACGAAAAAAAAACCCTTGCTTTTACTATGCGATTCGTTTATTTTTGAAATAACATAATAATAATTAACAGACAACGTTTATTTGGGAACCTGTAAAATAACCGAATAACAATTATAAACGTACACAGTTATTGTTTTCGTAAGAAAACGGTGGTGGTAGGTGGTATTTTAGTAATTATATATACATATATTGAGGCATTAGCCTCTATTCTTCGTGAGCTAAGATCAGTGTCTGCTGCGCCATAGTCACTGAACGTTCACATCTCGCATAGTACTACCTACCTACTCTGTATCCTGGAAACTTCTGAGCCATGTAAGTATATATTTTACATTTACTCAATTTATACATATTAATAGGCGTTTGTTTTAGTCCAATGGAAATAAATTCCTTATATGTATCTCATTAATCATTAGTTATTTATATACTCGAGGATACTAACGATTTCGCACTAAGTTTCTTTCACTTATTATTTTGTGTTTATATAAGATAAAATCTTAAAATTGTAAATATCATGTAATCCAGACAAATCTCAACGTACACGTGTCGAGACTTAATAATGAAAATATTATTGAAGAATTTCACGTAGATTTTTTATCGCTGTTTCAGTGTACTTACACAAGTGGCATATATATTATACTCGCATATAAAGTACACGCGTAACCGGTATAATAATAATTGCTAATATATCTACTCCCGTTTGAATTTCCCACGCTAACAAGTACCTATATTATAGTATAACATTATAACAGTAATTAACCAGCCACCAGGTAAATAATATGTACATACTCGTACTCGTATTATATACATTTTTATTAGTATATGTATAGTAATAATATACTCAGTTGATGAGTTATATTAAACTCCACGTGTGACCTTTTGTCGTGTTGTTCTCTGATTTATTTTGAGTTGCATACTGACGAAATATGATGAGGTTAGAAGGCGTGTAATTTAAATTTTATACATTTGCGTTATAATGTATACGTATATACTCACTTTAAGTCACCTTATACGAACAGTTTTGAGATATCCAAACAATGGCAACAACAATAAAATGTATATTCTAATTTCTACAAATACTACTATTTTTTCGAAAATTAAACGAATCTGTGTGTGCGAAATCCGCTTGATTTTTAAAATGTTAACTTACAATGTTCAACAATCGCATTTAAACATGCGCTTACAAATCACTTAGTATTATATATAATTCGGTACTGAATGTGCTATTACAGTATAAGTGAATAATAATAACATTACAATATCACGTAAACCTCTTATGTATATAGGCACTGTTGTAGGTATGCGTAATTAACGTAAAGATAATAATTAGATATTAGATAGATGTACACATTGTATAACTAAGTATTTTCCTTTGTGTGTAAACTTTTTATAATAAATGACGTAGGTATAGTATTATTTGTACAAGATTTAACGATTGAAATGTGATAAAGTCAATTCGTGTGTTACGAATGAAACAATTATTCATCCGCACGGAGACATTATCTGCATTTATGAATCTGGGCAAACGAATGATACATACTATTATATAATCACAAATAGTATTTTATTTATTTTAAATTTATTTTTTAATCATTCGTATTATTATATACAGTAGATACTTACGAAATAATAACGCTAACGGAGTATGTACACATCTAATTCTAGGCATAATTAATACTTTATGGGTCGTGGCGACTTTAATATATGTAATCGATGTAGCAAAAGATAATATTATGAATGTAAATATTTAAAGCCCCGTTTTACAAAATTAAATGATAATATATGTTGCAGTGGCATATCGTATTGCAGTTATATTTTTTATAATTTTTTGATATGAAAAAAATTATATTAATAGTTTAATATTTATTGTGATGTATCATTATGTATGTAAAATATCCAGCTCGAAGGCTCGATCAAATATTGTTTTATAATGATGCTAATACATATTTAATTTTACATTATATGCATCCATACAGGATCTTAATGTAATTGAAAGTTTTACTTAAAATACGTTTAAAACAAGTATATTTCATGAAACATTTTTTCCGGACAATTAAACCCAACATTGAAGTCCGAAACCCAAATTAACTTGATATATTTTTATAAAAATGTACATGTTTAACATCTGATGTTATGTACATATAAGCTTTTAAATATATTGACAGAAACGCGTACAATCGACTTATAATTAATGTGAAGGTGTATTTGATATCGTATGTGTATATTTATACGTTTCGATGAAAAAATACTTCTGGATGACGAATACACGCAGATAAAAAGTTTTAGAAAATCATATGATTGTCCCCCTAGAGTAAAATCGTTTTAAAGTGATTATTCATCGAGAATGAAAAAAATTAATGTTTACTCTATTTATTATTTTTTTTTTTTTGTTTTCGGCGATGTAGCTGCACGCAGAATCGCTAATTAGAACAACAAAAAGTAATTTTCCACGAAACAAACTGTGATTTTCCAGTTTGCATTGTAAAGGACGGAGGATGCGAAGGTTCATCAAACCGTGATTCCTATGCGAATATAGAAACGACTACTGCCGGGTGAGTTGCACGTACCATGACGCTACCTCGTGAACCCATGTATTACATTACCACCCGCGATATATCTATAATATAATATGTATTTATTTATGTATGTGCCTGCCACTGGTTGTGATAGTGATTATTATTTATTATAATATCGTTCACCGACAACGGTAATAAGTAATGACCCACTCCGATTGGAAATAATTTCTATAAATTATTATACTACCGTGCGAATTTTCGATTACAATTCCGCGCCAGAAATAACAATTAATTTTGTTATCCTCTACAGTATTAATATGCAATATGTAGCTTTGATGTATACATGCACCATGTTATTAACTGTATACTTCTATAATGCTCATCCGGTCTTTCACCAATACTAGGTATAACGCATGTAGTTCGTATTTTCATAATTTTATATACTCGTCTTATATACTACAGGTGTCGTATTTATATGTATGTCAATATGGAGATTAGGAGAACTTAAAACCACCTCAATTTACTATTAGAAATGTTGTAAATACATTACGTTGGATATCACCGTTTGCTTAATCTGTTTATTAAGCAGTAAGTTTTTCTGAAAACAAATTATAAACCCCTTAAAATTTGACTCACACCGTAGACACGTATAAAATAATAGCTACCCGCATTAACATAATTTTAAGTTCAAATGTTGGAAGTGTTATGAATTTAATGTATCTACTGAAATATAAAAAAAGTACACTGAGTGTTTATACTTAATATACTGATTTTAGTTGTACACACATTATTGGTATATATATTTAAAAGCAAAGTCAGATTATATTGTAATAAAAAAATTGATTCTGAACAAAGGTCAATGAAAAATACGTATTGAATACCTTAATCTTTTATAATTGTAACTTTAATAATTATATATATATTACGTTATATAGGAATTTTCCATGCTTGGTATAAACATTCATATTACACAATATTTATGCTAGATGTCCTGACATACTACATATATGCTTAGTCAACCTATCATTATATTTTGACGATATAAATCAGTGGTCCTCAAACTGTCCTCCGCGGAGCCCTCAGGGTTCCACAATTATTTCTCAAGGGCTTCGTTCGTTTTATAATAAAAAATTTAATAATATAACAGTTATTAATCGTTATGTAAAACAAAGAACAATCATATTTTAATAAGACTCCGTCAAAGCAGATATAATTCACCTATGGGAATGTACATACAACATTAAAATCCCGATAAAAAAATATAATTATTTGATTTTAGATAATATGCATTCCCGTTCCAAGAATTATTCGGCCAAGTATGTTGTATTTAAATGTAATATTAAATATACATTATATCATTTTAAGTTTCCTTCTATATACAGGGCTATATTAGCGCATAGAAACTAAAAGCACTTAAGGCCTACGAATATTTTGGGCTTATAAAATAGGTTAGGATTAGATTAGGGTTAGGTTAGGGTTAGGTTAGGTTAGATTGAAATAGGTTAGGTTAACATTTTTATTGCAAGAAAAAATCTAATTGAAAAAAAATTAAAAACGCAATTTATGCATATTTTAATTTTTAAACAAACACGAAGAACCTAATATTGATGTTTTTCTGGGGGGTTCATGACCCCCATGACCCCCCCCCCAATATGCGCCTAGATATATATACTATACATTTGCCCAAGTAAAATATTATGTACCATATAAGAATTTACAGACTAAAATAATTATATTACTCGTATATTGTTTCATCGATGTTTCGGTATAGTAATTCGTACAGCATCTATCGGGAAAATAAATGATCTTCATTATCGGTACTTTCAATTGAACACGAATTGCTCCAATAATTAATACTGAAAAAGTAATTGAATCTTTTGCAAAGAAAAAAATTTTGTAACTATGAAGTTATGTTATATAGTAATTAGTATTATTTAGTAATATACTATACAATTGTTAATTTTTTTTTTTTATTAGTTACAGTCTTTTGTTTGTTATACAGTTATTTACGAGGGTTACAGAACTATGCAAATTAGTAAAAAAAAAATGTTTTTATGGTATTTCAAAATTTATTATTATAATAAAATTAATTGTTCTTAAGATTTTACTTTTTAAAATTGATATCATATAAGAAAATAAACGTTATAATATAAAAGTTTATATTTGACTTTTATAAGGAAAATATTGTTATACTATACGACTATACTGAGACGATACCTGCAAAAAAAACATTTGTTGGTTTTGGTAACGGATTTAATAATTGACATAGAAAAAGTTAAAAAATTAATTAATTTACATTATGACGGACCGATTCCTTACAAATTAATAGGTATGCGATTTTAAGAAAAATATTTCGCGGTCGATTAAATGTTTAATTTGCGATGGATTTATTGTTATTTACAAGAAATATACGACCCTCAATTTCAAAAGCGTTAAAATCTTAATATTTTAATTAACAATACAGAAATGTAACGTAACACGGTTTAAATATATCTTGACTACAATAAGTATTTCTTCAATCCGAATTTCCGGTAAAGCAGTAATAGTTTTAAATTCGATTAGTAGGGGCGTCATTTCAACTTTTGAAAGGGTGAGGCAAGTGATTAAATTTGCAACTTCATAATATTTAAAAAATCATGGTTATCTATATATGTAAATATTTAATATTTATGGACGATAGACTATCAATAAAATATTTTTTCGGAGCAAAATATGTAAGGATTACGAGTAGTAATGAATAATGATGTTATGATGATAAACAAAGAACATAAAATGTTTCAATTTCCACAAATTAAATTATAACATTAATGATAGTAAAACATTAATTTATTTACTATAACTTTTAGTTACCTATCAATAGGTTTAATGGAATAATAATATAAATCTAATTAAATAAATACTTATAATTTTAATATTTGTATATTTAAAGCCGCGTCCACACCTAGCAAACACCTGAGGAAACATTGTTGAACGTTTGCCCAATGTTTTTCAAACGTTTGCCAAATGTGTGTCAAAATAACAAATATTTTTATTTGTTCGCTAAATGTATGCTCAATTCATTAATCTACAGTTTTGATTATGGCGTCTCTAGAGCAAGTTGCATGTGTAGGAGCTGCATTAATAATTATTCATAAACACTATAAAAATAAATTGAAGGATAGAAGTAAAAGACGATGGTGGGTAAGACAACTACTACAACACCGAAAAACATAATGGTGAGCGTTTCATTATGGATTTACACGCAAGTGATTTGTTTAATAATTTTACAAGAATTTCAAGTGCCGATTTTGAATTTTTAATAAGTGTAATTGGACTATACTGTACCAAACAAACATTCAACAAACATGTTGGTTGGATATTTTGGATGTTTGATGAACGTTTGACCAAATGTTTGTAAAATGTTCATTAGATGTGGACGCGGCTTATTACTTTACAGAACCTATTTATAAAAACATAAAATTGTATCTCAAATATAATGTACCGTAGTTTGGGGGGAATAGGGACGATTTTAACGGGTTTTTATAGATTATGAGCTCAATTTTTACGGTATCGATATCACGAAAACTGTTTTATAATGATCACATATATAGAAATATGTAATATACCAAAAATAAAGTTTGTAAGGTTCGCGTAATAATGATTATTATAAACTGGGGAAGAGCCAGTGTTTCCCAACTTTTAATAAACTATGAATGTGTGTTTTAAAGAGAATATTACCTGATTTCTGAGTACGAATTAGTAAATAAAAATTTACCGATTTTAGCATTTGATCATTGGACAAAGAATTGTCGACTTTTTAAAATTTCTTAGAGTAGGGCATTTTTCATAATCTGCCTTCCTAAATGACGCCCCTGTCGACCAGTAAAATCAGTACAATATTTAATTGCACGCAAGCAGTGTGATTATTTATAGCACTTTTATAATATTTTATAACTCGCAGTCGAGGTTAAAATTGATTTTTTAAGTCAAAAACGCATACATAATAATAATTCATCAAATAAAAAAGAAAACTTTTAAAAATTGAACAAAATTGGACCTGTGCTAAATATAAAGGAATTGGGATGTTAGGATATTAAATTAAATAATTAATTGAAATTCAGCTTCAAAATGCTGTTTTGAAACTAGTGCTATGTAGAGCATTGGCCTTTTTTTAATTTTTGTTCAACTATTTTAAAACAAAAAGTAATTGTTTTGAACTTTTGGCGATATTAAATATTTAAACGATTACTTTCTATTTTTCTATTATTTTCTTTATAAAAATCTTTTATTATTATTATTTTTTTTTTTACATATTGTCAATTTGTTAAATTGTATTCTCCTTATATATCAAATGATTATATAATCGAATTGGAATTAAAAACAATACAATTTAACGTAGGTTGAAAACGTACCTTATGATAGAACTGGAGATAAAATTATATTTTGTGACTATACCTGTATTTTTATGATAAAAATATTAACCTTCCCCGTATAATCTAGCCCTAATTAGGATAACCCATGTATAATGTAAACAACCGACGATTGATATTTTAAGTGAGATCCTTGGATAATGTCATAATATAAAATATTTATTGATATATAGATCGACGAGGTGAGTACGGCGACGGATTTGTGCAGAAGAAGAATTACTATTAATAGATTCTACAACTTGAACAGAGTGCACGCGTCAGGATGAAAGATAACGTTCAGGTGGTAGCAGTGGTCGTGCTGTGCATCGCGTGGTTGTGGCAACCGATCGAATCGGACATGGTGCAGATAAAACCGACAGCGGCGTTGCTGGTGTCGGTGAAGAGGTCCAACGACAACAACGCGTCGGCGTCAGACACGAGCAATAGCACTTCACCGTGCGACCGATACCTGAGATCGGCCGAAGCGGAGGTGAGGAATCCGCGTAACCATAAGTTCGTCACGTCCAACGGTTGGACGGAACGGCATAGACCCCGGCCCGAGATTAGCGTGTACTCACGCATCGAGGAAGTGCCATCGCCGCCACAGCCTGCACCCACAGTGGCCGCGTACTACCAGCAACAGCGTGACAGCTTTTACCACAACTCGGCCGTACAGCAGCTACCACCCGCCGTGAGGACGTCTAAACGCATCATATACTATGCAACGCTACCCGACGTCGTCCGACCACCCGCCGGATACTCGTCGTCGCCTAGCTATTCATCCGATCCGTTCACGCTCGGACCTGGGCCCTTCTCCGCCGATTTTCGACAACTCGACTTCAATAGGTACTTGTTATAATTTAATTTATATATATATTACATTGTGTATATTATGTATATTATATACACGTTTTATCTTAAATTGCCTTGAAATATTAACCTTACAAGCCAATAATCTACACGTAATTTCCTTGTAAAATACATCCATGCTGTGAAAACAGCTGAGCCAAAGACTACGGACAATTAGGGTTAAAATATCAACTTAAGGAGTCTATGTTTTTCTATGTTTACAGAAACACACCTCCGGACAGTTTGCAGCGTAATCGTTTGGCGTCATACGAGAACGTCTACAATCATGGTGGTGGCAATGGCGGCGTGACTTCAGTCACGTCCAAATCGACGGCCGTGTATAACAGTAGGTACGACGAACCTGCCGAGTTCCGGGATGCGTACTACCGACCGAACGAGTTCACGTCAAAGTTCGCGTCATGGGCTGAACCGTTTTACAAGAGTTGGACTTCGTCGTCCTGGGACAAGGATTCGCCGGCTTACAAAAACAATAGGGGCCCATCGCCGTCATTCTCCTCGTGGGATCGGGAACTAATGGGTAGAGGAGCGAGCCCATGGGAGAACCGAGGATCTTCTTGGGATAACAACCGGGGATCGTCGTGGGACAACCGGGGTTCATCGTGGGACAAGGAGCTGGTAGAGGTGCCGTTACAAAAGCCTAACGGCGATAGTGGTAGCCGCAATGGTGAAAACTTCAACAACAATGACAAATATCCTGAAGTGGCGGTCATCCATTCAGATGTGATCGACGTAAGAGGAGACCGCGGGAGACAACAAAACAGTTCACCGCCACCATCGTCATCGCAAGCCATGCCACCCTCTAGGTTTACGATCATCGACGTCGACCCAAAACCGTATCATCACCAGAACCAACAGCCTCAGCAGCAGATACCAGCGTCAATGCGATACGAACCACCACAAAAGCCGATGCAATACGAAACATACACGCCGATGCAAGCCCACACGCGATATGAGCCGCGTCAGCCACAGCCGCCGTCGCCTATGCGCTATGAACAGCAGTACCGGCCACCGCCCTCATCATCGTCCACGCGTTATGGATCACAGAACGAAAACAAACTACCATCCAATGGGTATGTATTATGCATACGTCATATAACTTATGTAATATCGTTTTTATCAATTTCGGTTCAACAGCAAAAGAATTTCTAGATTCTAAATTTTTTTCAGCATGTGTATATTTTCAAGATTATTCATAGTTCGCAAATACATCTTTCGATTATATGATTTACACTTTAAGCCGTTAATCTTTTAGTTATTAAATAGCATTAAAACAATATTGTTAAATGGACCCAGTGCTTTTATAATTATATTTGCCTATAAAATATAAATTTAAATGCGGAAGAGGCTATACCTAAGTAGGACATAGATCATAGCTAGAGCAGTGAAGTTATTGCATTAAAAAAGTCACTAAATTGCTTGTATTATCGCATGAAAATTTACATTAAATATATTACAAATTGCAATTATTATTTTTAAAATTGCATTAAAAAAAATAAAAAATTATAGTTAATAAAATAAAATAATAATAATAATAAAATTCTAATATATTGCTTATATTATTGCATTGAACTATAAGAGATTTTTTTAAGTTTTCATAATCAAATGATTGTCTATTATTACACATAGCAAATGTTTAGATCGGGAAAAACTTCTTTCTACATTCGTGATTGTGATTGGCACGTACTTGAAATAGGTTAAATTATCGCTGATCAAGTCTTTTGGTAATCCCTCCATAGACTGAATTTTTTCACTTAAAATGTTGAGTATAAGAACGATTGTTTAGTATCCATCATTTTGTTGTAAAATTCTTTTAAATTTCTAGTTTATTAAAATTACATTTTGTTCCATGATTTTGTCTATTTCAGTTTCAACATTTTTAACTATAAATAAAGCTTCGATTAATGGGAAATATTGAATTTCGAGCTTAGTAATTTCTGCTGTTATTAAACCGTAAGTAGAATGAATGAATATTAAGTTGATTTCTATTGAGTTATCCGATAAAAGTAGTTAAGCTTCTTTTATAGAAATAGCATCAATCGAATTTAATAATTGTATTCATTTTTTTATTTCCATAAAATGTTTACAATAGTAGGAAGCCGCATTAATTCATCTCCCCCATCGAGTCATAATGGGCTGGGGAAGTAAATTAATACCTGCAGCTTCTTCTTTAAATAATAAAATACGGGAGGGAGCCTTTAAAAATATTTGTTTTACTTTGGCGATAAGCTTCTCAACTTTTGCTATTCTATGTATACCGTGACCTAAACAAGTTATGTGCACCATCTTGGAGTACAATACTTTAACTGTGGAGGCTGTTTTGACCATATAAGGGGCCGCATCATATAAAGATAACAAAACTTCATCGTGACGCGAGGCCGTAACTGGGGGGGTCCAGAAGTCCGGACCCCCCGAAATTTTCAAAAGTAGAAACATTTTAGCGGTGAATATAGTTTATTAACTATAAATTGTATTAAATAATAATGTTAGACCCTCCTCCCGAAATTGTTTTTTAGTTACGGCCATGTCGTGACGAATTCTATCAGGCCATAATAAAAACTTGAACTTGTCAAGAAGTTTAGCTATTGCAGATTGGTTATCTTTTTCAAGAATTTCTGTTGTGAGTGAAAATATCTTACCAGGATGAGCAAATTTTAAGGTTCCAATTACAATATTAGACATAAAACATCCATTTGCATCAGTTGACTCGTCAATAGATACCCATATTTTTTTACCTGTTACATACTTTCTGGTACTTTTCATAACATCTTCGTAGCAATCATTAACATATGTTTTGCGTAAAATAGTGACAGTTAGAATTTCGTTGCCAGTGTATTTTTCCAAAAATTACCGGAAATGTATGTTACTAATTTTATGTAACGGAATATTACTTAATATCAATGCTTTACATAGATCAAACGAAAAATTTGATTGTTTTGTACTTGTTACTAATTGTTGAACTTTTCAATTTTTTTTTGTTGGTTTTCTTATTTGCTCACCTAGAATGTTTATCGGTTTTGAGATGTTGCGCACAGTATATCGTCGATCGATAATAATAACCTAACCTAATCTAACCTAACCTATTATTCCATCTGAGTACTCCTGTAGTCTGTTTAGTATTACTAGTGCTAATATTTTGTAACCAGTGTTCAGTAATGATATACCTCTATAGTTTTCAACTTTCTTCTGATCTCCTTTCTTGTATATAGGGAATATAAGTGACTCGTTTCAACCTTCTGGTATTCTTTCTTCTTTCCATATTAATTAATTAATTTATTTATTTATTTATTCATTTATTTATTTATTTATACGGACAAAAGTCCAATTCACAATATATTTGTAAAGATAACAATAATATAATATAATTTAAAATAGTAAAATATACCTAACACAATAAAAAATGAAAAGATTAATATATCGAATAATAGTAATAATAATAATTATAATAACAATGATAATGACAATAATAATAATAATAATAATAATGATAATAATAATAAAAATACATTCAATTTTTTATAATATCATTAACTATTTCTCGAAGACATTAAAATATTTATGGGGTCGTATGATGTAAACTTTTTGGATGAATGAGGAATATAGAATGAATGATTGTTACGAGTGTAGTGGCTATTAACTTTGAAATTTAATTGAATTAATAAAAATTGATCATCAATTTCGTTATTTAGCAATTTGGTGAGGAACGTGTTGTATGATAAGTGTCTCCGTACATTTAAAGATTCTAAATTTAACAATTTTAAAATATTATCGTAGCCAGAGCGAGGAGTGAACGAGGTTCATGAAAATCGGAGCAGTTTCTTTTTATCATACCAAATACAGACAAAGCTTTATTTTTAATCGCTGATACATGAGCATTAAATAATAGTTTGGAATCAAATAAAATCCCAAGATCTTTAAATAATGACGAACGATGTAGGTTAATGTCGCATATATGATAATTAGAATGTAAGGGATTGTGTTTTTTGGAGTAAGTAACAATTTGGCATTTATCAATATTTAATGAAAGACTATTTGAACTATTTATTGTATTAGTTTCAATATCTGAGTTTTTAATTCGTGTTCTCCCGCTTTCCATAGTTCAGCATTAATTATGTCACGCTTTTGATATACTTAAATTTAAACAATGTGAAGCACGATGTGTATACAAAGCAAGATGCTGAATTTTTAATATTTGAGCTTGAACGCCTTGATATTTTCCGGGCATATTAGCCCCTCCGTCGTAGCCTTGACCACGCAAATATTTTATATTAAGCCCTAAGTCATCTAATTGGTATATTATTATTTTGGAAAGATTATAACCAATTGTATTTTCAACAATAATCAATTTTAAGAAATCTTTTTGCACTTAATTATGAAAAACATAGCAAATGTACAAAACTAATTGTTCACTAATACTTATATCGGTTATTTCATCAACAAGTATTAAGAAATATTTTGATTCTTTAATAGCATTTACAATTTTACCAAGAATTACACTGGCACAGCAATCGATCAAATCGTTCTGTGTAGTTTTACTAATAAAACTAGCATTTTTCGGAAATTTTGAAGATGGTTTTTCAAAACAACATCACCTGAATTTATACGAAATTTCAAAAGCTCTCTAAAATTTCCTTCATTATTTACACTATTTTGAAACAAATCTCCATCATCGCGATGACCACGTAAAGGAAAGTTTTGACGACCACAAAGAAAAATTGTATTAATGATCGGGACAAGTTTTTTTCGATTTTCTTAAATTTGCTTTTGAATATTTGAATTTAATTGAACAGCAACAGACTTCTCAGTAGATTCTATAACATTTTTAAAATCATCCGCTTTGATAATTGAAACTTTATGATAATCGTTATTTGAATATTTTTTTAACAGTTCGAGAGCTTTTTTTATACTTATTTAATGGCTTAGTGTATAATTTACCTGCGTTTTTTTTACTTTTTCCCACTACATCACGAGAAAAAAACTCACAAGTTCTACAATAAACTCCTTCGTGTTTTTGACTATAAGATAATCACGGAAAATCGTTAAGCCATTTTAATTGAAATTTTCTTGAATCTTTATCTTTAGGAAAATCATATAAAATATCCGGTCTCCATATTTTTGTCAATGCAAGATATTTTTTATCATTATTTAGTTTTGAACTTTGACTGTCAATAAAGTTACCATTATCTAATGCATCAACAAAAATATTTTTTTGTACATGATTGTCAACATCGGTTAGTAAATCTTTAGAACTACTTTCATGTACAGGTGTAGAAATATCATTACTAGTACTTACATTTTCTCCATTATTTACTTTAGATCGATCTTGCACTTCATTTGAACGAATTTTCTAAGCAAAAAAAGACATTAATAATCTCTGAGTACTGACAGAACGATCACGTTTATTGAGAGATTCAGAGTCATTTCTAAAATCTGACATCGTAAAATAATTATATATTTAAAGCCGGGTGTAATAAAAAACCGTGTTTTACTAACAATCATACAATATTATATTCGACAGGCAGTCACGAGCTAACTAAGTGTGACTAAGCTGAGACTCATAAACAAAATAATAATATAGCAATATTAATATTATTAATATAGCGAATGCCGAATAATAATAATAATTACAGCGATCTAATAATAATAATTATCTGGTTTTCCGCCGTTGCTCGACGTTATTACAATAGCTGTATGAGACAGAGACAGCGGCGGCGGAAATCACCGATAATATTATTCTTATTTATAAAAATAACACAAATAATATGTGATTTTAAATTTATAAAATTATTTTGTTGGTGACTTAAACAAATGACAGGGGGTGCCCGAGCACCCATGACCACCTGAATCCACCCACCCCAGCTGAATCCGCACCAGTCTCATAATCTTAATATTATACAATATCTATAATGTTTATTATTATTTACCAGTGGCGTATATAGGAAGGTGTCTAGTGGTCTACAGCCCCCCCCCCCCCGAAATGTTTCAAAAAACTTAAAAATTATTTTAAACGTTTGTTATATTTTAATGGTGCTCTATACTTATTTAGAAATAATTTTATAAAAAAAAAAAAAAAAAATAGAAAATTTTTATACTATTTATTAGTATTTAATTTTTAGATTGAATTTTTTTATTATTATTATCACCAAGGTACATAGTGTTTTACATTTTTTTTATACCACCTATTTTTACTATACATATTGTTTATGTTGTATCAATTCATTTGTTAGTCATTTTATGTTATCATTTTTGTGCGATGCGTAGCGGTGCGTTGCGTATCCGCAGCCCTCGTCGGCGGCGGTGATAGACCTCCGTGTGCGACCGGCTAGGTACACAATCGCGCTGTTATCATCGCATGAAAATGTCGTTATTTCCACGTTTTCAAAATTTTTCGGTTATGTTTTTGTAAAAGTAAAAGTCAATATTGTGGTGTCTGGGAAACAAACGTACCTAAAGAAACTAGCATTTGTTTATAAGTTATACCAAATATTACAAAAGTTACAATTTTGTTACTATCTATAAAACATTTATATGTATATATATATATGTGTGTGTGTGTGTGTGTGTGTGTAAACAAATAAAAAATTGTAATTTTCGTGCACTTACCTATTAGACATTAACAATTAAATTAATATCCCTAACTGTAATCTAAAATAGTAAAAACGTGCACGCACCAGAGATAATTAAATTATTATCTATGACAACCGCAGAATTCTGTATTTTATTATGGCAGGATGTTTATAGTATCACAGAATATGTCATTATTCTATGGTAAGATTATATTTTTATCAACATTTTGATTGTTCTTTATTAATATTATATTAATAAAGTTTTACTGCTAAAATAATTTAAAATTTATTTTTTATTTAAAGAAATATATAATTTATTGGGAAGAATTTTACTTAGGAAGTTGGAAATTATAAATTAATAATATGTTAATAGTAACTTAGATACCAGATACGAAATAATGATGGTTAGGCTTTGTAGCACTTCTTTTTATTTACTTCAGAGTAAATAACATTTTTGTTTTTAAACCAACTGATAATATATATTAAACTGATTTTTTGTTCTTGATAATCCCACATATAACTGTCCATGTGAGAAACAGTCAGAGATCAAATCAATACCAAAATATTAAAATGTTTGACCTTAAAACTTATTAATTGTAATAGTGAACGTTATTTTAATGGGAATTGAAGTATCTTAAATTGTAAATATAAATCATTAGGATTAATAGATATATAGTGTTATTGAGGTAATTTCTTCCGCTGTAAATTATATTACAATACTATTCGATATACTATATATATTAGATGAGATTGAATATTTTTAAATATATTTTTTTAATTTTTAATTTTATTTGTCTGAAAAACGGCGTTATTATTAATTTTTTTAGGTACTATGAAAATATAAAGAACAACATCAACACTCACCAATTCATGACGAGTTGGACAGAAGTATCATCAACTCAAGACGAAGTATTGCCCACGCACTCGGTGAGCGTAAACATCAATTCGCTCGGAAACTCTACTAGCATGCAAAACAACACCAAAATTATTCCCTAAACAAGTACTCCAAAGATACCAAAATAAAATGTGTAAATTCATAATATTATTTAAGAAATGTTGGTATTTGTATTATTGGATTTTATATAAAAATAATATGTGAGTATTAATAACTTTATACATTATTTATGTCGATAAATGTGTTAAATCAAAATGTTTTTATAACAATTTACGACAAATCATCAATTTCATCCAATTATTTATTTACATTAGATACATTGCATTCACGTTTTCATAAATCTTTAAAATGAATGATTTTTTTATTATATAAACAATTGTTTAATTTCATATTTGATAATAAAATAATAAAAATTAAAAATTAGTAATTGGTTAATACTCGTAAATCAATAAATAAATACACAAATAGTATATACATAAAAATAAATAAATGCTTTGCCTGGATTATTGTTATATTCAGTGCCGGAGCAATCGTCGATGCGAGCGAGGCACGTGCCCCGGGCCCCGATATTTATAGTGCTCCCACCTGAATGAAACCAAAAAAACATAAATTAAGTTAATTTTTGATCATGAGTCTTGGTATACCCAACATATACTATTATACTAACAACAAAAAATATATTACCCAAAATACCCATGTATCACATTAAAAAAATTCATATATATTTCAACATAGTTCTTTGTATCTTAAGTAGGTAATTTTATAATTTATTTGTTTTAATCAGTCTTGTAAAGTATTCGAATACAAGTATTTGAATACGTGTATTAAAATACTTTTTGAAGTATTTTTTGGTACCTATTATGAATACTTTTTAAGAGTATTTTTAACATAATATAAATAATAAATATAAATTCACTTTATTAATTATTTTTCACAACAATTTGGCATCAATAAAAATACTATTGTTTTTGTTGAAATAATATTAAATCGGCTTGATCTGTAAGTCTTAACTACAAGACTGGTTTTATTTTTACGGTAAATTTGATTGATAATCGGTAAATTGATATTTCTGGTATCTTATGTAGTCATAATAAATATATAGATGTTCACATATAAATATATAATTATATAAATGATCGATATTTAGCAATCAGTAAAATAATTTCGTTATTTTTAGTTATTTATCCAATCTACTATGGACAGTCACGATCGCGATAAATTTGGTTCCTATCCCTCTGAGTACCAAAAAAATAATTAAAAAACAAAAAAAAGAAGAATTTTTAAAAAAACAACGAGGGTCAATGTCCCGATTTCTTCAATTACCACAGTCTAGTAGTATTTTTAATTCTAATAATAAATAAATATTAAATAAACAAGACCAATCTAAACCACAGTCCGCGTAGAAATGTTTTTAATGAAAATTTAGATATTGCTTTACCACCTTCAAGTGAAAAAAGTGAAAAGCCAATATCGCATAATCTAGATTCAACAACTATTTTAAATTTTGTTAAAGACATAGACTTAACAGACCCTTATAACTGACCAGATTCTATAAATTCCTACCTAAGAGTTGATTTAGTCAAACTTGGACCATGAAGAAATATAAAAAATATAAAATATCCTATTAGCTCAATTGATAAAACTGAAAGACAATTTTCTAATGGTTTGTATTCTAGAAAATTATCTAATGGTGAGTTTATTGATTGATCTTGGATCCAAACACTCCTTGGCTCGAATATACTCCTCAAGTATTAGGATTCTATCGACCTTGGATCCCCCGGTCTCGATGCCACGTTTCGACAACTCCCGGTTTATCTCGACAATATTTAATTCACCAATGCATTTGACTGCCATTGTGATATATTAAAATTTAATTGCTATCTACCTAATTAAAATTCAATAGTAATTGTGCGAGATTGCCGCAAATAGGGATATCGATTGGCAGAGATGCACTTTCTAATCTATAAATGGCCTAAACCACGTTTAGCGTTGTAGGAATTACGAAAAATTTTTGCAAATTACGCCCGAAATTTTACACCTTAGATTGGATAAGCCCTTAGTATTTTATTTCAAATAAAAATTATAATAAACTATTAGGAACCGGTACGATCAGGACACCTATTGTAGGTTCTTTTAACCCGATATGTGCTAATTTACTTTAATTTACGTAAAATTAATTTTATTAAAATTAGCACTTACCTTACTCTTTTTCCGACTGCGCCAATGTAGGTGTGTAGGTGAATATTAATTAAAATTGTAAAAATGTATATTAAATAATAATCTATTGTTTAATAAGAGAAAATTACACTTTATTAATTAATAAATTATACGGACAAATAAATGACCAGCTGTTGTTTTCTGTTCTCGTCGTCGTCTTATGAGCTTTTCGAACCCGCCGAGTCAACCGTCCGCCGCCGCCGGCGACGGCCAACCGGTTCGGTCGCGTCCTCACGGACGTCTATAAGGGCGCCGTGGTCGTTGTGATTACGACCACGACACTAACAGGGTTCGAATTAACTGAATAACAAAAATACGCCGCTTTACATTCTCACATATTTTCAGGGAATTAATTCTAAGCTCTTTTCTTGTATCACTACACATGTCTTTGACAATTTTTTAATTCACTATGACACATAGGAGTGTTTGTATAGCAAATTAAAAATTGTAATACTTTTTTTTTGTTGCAATATTATCAAATAAAACACAAAATTTGACCCTAATCCATTATTTAATATGAATAAACGAGCGGTCGGTAATTAGGCCACATTTTGTGTATCTGCTTCGTATACAATATTTATTTACATTTTACTACCCGGAGATTGGGCCACAAATTAAATCTATACTTTTAAAGTGTACCCAGAAAATTTAAATTTATCCAGGCCATTTACCATGTACTACATTTACCAATTAAATCTCCAAAAAAATTTTCCTTCCTACGGTCGAATGATACATTTCTATTTGCTTATTTCAATAGAATTATAAAAATACATTTCATTTTATTTATAATACAATATAAAATACATTATAATACAATACAATATAACTTTCAACATAATAAAACTATAAAAAGACAATCATTATTTCATTATTTCGTTTAACTTATAATATGTTATATTAATATACCATTAATACAGACAAAATTTAATTAGTATAGTTGAAACTTAAAATAAACGCATAATTATATATATATATATTGTGTTTTAATTATTCAGATGTAGTTTGAAATAATATTTGGAAAATCTTGTTTTAATCTCGAAACAAAGCCTTTAAATTTGCCAGTCATTGCAGGAGCTCCATCTGTGCATACGGAAATACAATTTGTCCATAACAGTTCATTTTTTTTTAGAGTATCACTAACACAATTATATATAACTTGCCCGGTCGATGTTGTTAATAATTCAGTACAAGATAAAAATTGTTCAATAGCCTCATTGTTTTTAATAAATCGTATATAACTTAATAATTGACATTTTTTACTAATATTGGTCAATTCGTCAATTTGTAATGAAAATTTTCGGCCATCACATAAAATTTCAGAAACATGTTTTTGAATGTCGGAAGACATATCATCAATTCGTCGAGATATTGTATTATTTGATAATAGAACACGATAAACTTCCTTCTCAGCACTCTCACCTAACATTGATTTTACAATATCTTTGCAAGCTGGTAATATTAAATTTTCAGCTATAGTGTGAGGCTGCATTTTTTTAACTATTAATTCAGCAACTTTATAACTAACAATCTGAGCTTTATCGGATATATTTGTAAGTTTTTCCAACTGTTTTGATTGTTTTACATTTGATGATAATAAGCAGCTAAAATAAGTTTTATCTTTATTTAACAAATTTCCGTGTTTAGTAGTAAAATGCCTTTTTAATTTACTAGGTACCATACATTTGTTCCTAAGTTTTTCTCCACATACCAAACACTGAGGAATAGGAATAGTTTCTGATCCACAGAAAGTGAAACCAAAATTTAAATAATTATCATGGTACTTACGGCTTGCACTAGAAGATTGTGTACCAGATTTGATGGTTTCAGTAACTGTCGTTTTCTTTTTTTTATTATCGCCATTATTTTCTTCGTAATCGTTAAGCTTTCTTTTTATATTTAAAAACTTATCCATAGTTATTATAAAACAAACGTCGCAAAAATTCAATAAAATTTAGGCTTGTCGTGGTGTGGTTTGAACGTAATCGAGAAAACGGTATCGAGAGATAATAATATTATTACCTAATAACGATCATTATATACCTATTATTCGATAAGTAGATAATATTTATTCAAAGTGTGCCGTGTATTTATTTAAAGTGTGCCGTGACTTATAAAAACTAATAATAATGTGGCGCGATGGGAAGAAGTTTGGGAACCACTGATTTATGTGTTAGAATTCTGTAATTTGTTTTGAATTTTTTTAGTAGGTGTTGATACTTGGTGTTGTACCCTGTAGACTACATGTCGTTTATACGACACCCGGTAGTATCAATGTATATTTTTTTCTTGTAATAAAGTGGCCTACGTGACCGGCGAGCCATCAGCATTTGCTTGATCAGCGAATCCCACGACTCGGCGGAAACGCTGGGTTGTTTGTCACAATGCTCGAGCAGTCAAGTAATGACCACTACAGAGCATCAACGCGTGTCAGAGCATCTTTTAATATTTTATTATTGTAGTATTTCATTATTTTATTATTGCATTATTTCTTTATTCCATTTTAAATAGTCCATAGTTCATTTGAATTATAATAAAGTGCTATTTCTTTAAAACAACTCTCCTTTTATTTATCACCTTCACCACAAAAAGCACCATCACAACACTGGTAATAATAATGGCACAAAAAATAATATGAGCATAGTAATAAATTGATATAAAGATCCTTATTCCTTGCATAAATTCAATGAGTGGATTAAAATGTTGTATTTTTGATAAATTAATGTGAGGATTACAAATTGTACTTGAAAAGGAATATAGAAAATCTAAATATTTTCAGTTCTAAATAAAATTATGTAAATTTGAATAGTTTTTCACCGATGATTGTCGGTTTCTATCAGTGGCGCATTTAATATATACGCGCCCCGGGGCAAAATAATTTTTCCGCCCTTCCCCTTTATAAAAAAAAATATATATATATATAAATAAATTCAAAGCTAAGCAATAAAAAAATTAATTTTATGAAACAA